ATTCAAATGCATAATCATCATGAGGACTTCGAACTGACAATCTGTAGGCTATATCGAACGAACTCCGCCTTTTGATCCAACTTCCATCACACCGTCTACCCGAACATGTCCGCAATCTTCGTAATATGTTAATTGATCGTGCAGGATTCTCCCTCGATCAAGAAAATTCCCTTGTTGCAAAGCTCCAAATGTCGATTGCTGGGCGGCTCCCCCACATTTTCGGGTCAGAGAGGAGCGGTGTCCTGAAAACTAACTTGTCCCTCCCTGCCGAATTGACATGGGCTGTCAAGTCTGAGATTGGTCTTTGGATCCGACGTGGTGTAGCTGAGCATTATCGCAAACCAGGCAGGTATGTTCTTTTGCCAGTCTTCCGCTTCTTGTTTTTGGACTCATGTTCCTTCCAGGAGATATAGCAACATCCCGTTCTTCTCTGACTCGGGCATCTCTGCACTAACTCCTGCCGAATTCTGCATTATTCGAGAGATCCTTGAGGGCTTTGGAGACCTGTCAATGCTTGCGGACGTACTCAAGCAGGCAACTACCTGCGACAATAGTATCGTGCTCGCCTCGGTTGCAGACACGGTCAACTATCACTTTGACACATTCTGTGTGATCAGTGCTGTGCACGATCTCTTTAAGGGCCTCGTTGAATCTTATGTCCGCCTGAAAAGGTTTGGTGCCCCCAGCCTGGACCTGATTTTCTCGTTGATAGAGCTGGGTCTTCGAGTGCCCAGCGAGTTCAATACCGTTGCATTGCTTCGTCAGGACCTTGCTCGGATTGAGAATAGAGCGGCTGTGGCGGCTCCCTCTCCACTCTCCGACCATATCTCGGTGTCTACTGGCCAGATCGATTCCTTGTTTCAGGAGAAGCTTGATCAAACGCTTCTCTCTGGTGGTGGGATGGACGAGTCCACCATGGACACATCCTTCGCCTCGCTTACCAAAGCGCTTCAGGACGGCCACATGAAACTGTCAGCAAATGAAATATGTCGATATATGGCTTACCTTCGAACTTTCCATCCCAAGCGATTCGATGCTATGCTAGTACGATGGGTGTGCGGACTTTTGAAGTCTCAAACCAGATCAACAATGGCGCGGATCCTCCCCCCTCTTATCGGTGTGGGATGTGTTACTATCCATGCTTTCGTTACCTTGGTCAAGAAGCTCCTTCAGTCGGAGAAGGTCGTTGCGGTAATCCCTAGCGTTGCAGAGTTGAAGCTGGATCTCTTCGAACTCCTTGTTCCGCCAAAGCACGACCAAAGTCGTCTCGCAGATATGGTTACCTATCGGTTTCGACTCGCACAGCAAGAGTTCCTTGCTAAACATCCCGAAGAAAGCCTCGACATAATCCGTGATGCTGTACCTTTGATCGCACCCGAGAACACCGGTGCCATATACGGGCCCAGAAGGGATGACCTCACAGAGTGCGCAACCATGCTGCTTCAGCTTCTCCTTACACAGAATCCGGAACGCATCGTCCAGAGTTGTTTGCAGAAGTTTATTGGTCAACACACAGCATCCACAGCTTTACTGCAGAAGGCACTTGACAGCCTTTTGGGCTTCGACTCAGATGCAAGCGACAAGACTACACCTGATGCTGAGAAAGTCATCCGCATGAATAACGATTTTTCGCTTCCCTTTTGTCAACTCAAGCTTCAGCTCTTGTTCAACGCAGAAGCTGCTGGCCAAGACAACAACAGCATCGTGGATGTGATGTTCAAAGCTGCAGTGGCAGATACCAAGTCTCACAATGATCACTGGTATGGCCTAGTGAGCTTGATGAGCCATGATGCTATTCAGCAAATTCGGGAGCGGGCTGAAAGGAGTTTCTTCTCTATCCCCATGTTCGAGGAAAATTCAGATAGTCTCCAATCGATCGAGACTGCAAGGCTCTACCTGACCATGATCGAGAAGTTAGCCCCTTGCATTCCCGAAGCTGGGGTACCGACCGTTGTGCCTGTGCTTGTTGAGAAGATGGAGTTCCTGCTTCAGAAGTTTGTGGCAATGCAAGCAAATCATACTGGTGCCGGAGATGCACGTCCGACAAACCAAGCTAGCCCGTCTTTCGAGAGAAGCCTGGCCTTCTGGTTTTCTGCCTTGCTTCGGATCGTTGTCATTCACCGCGCCTCGTTCAACACACCGGGGCTGGCGCCTAGATCTCATGGCTTACCAGAGCAGACTCGCCTACTGATCTCTATCTTCTGTATCTCTTTGGCCCGTCTTCCGAACCGAGTCCTTCGTCTATTCCCGTCGGCTGATTATTTCCCTCAACCCAAATCAGTGGAGAGCTACCGGCCGTGTCCTGGTATTCTGCTGCAAACCCATGCACTCGATGTTGCTGCCTGCCTTGTTGACATATTCCCGGATGAGGCACGGCAGCAGTGTGCGCGATTCCTCAAGGAAAAATGTCCGCCCTTCCTTCAATTCCAGAACGATGCTAGATTTCTTTACCTTCTCGGTCCCATAGTGGACAGCTCTAATCCTCCTCAACTCACGTCTCTACCGTCTCCTGCCGCTGGCGGCTCTACCCCAACCCCATCAGGAAGCTTAGCCTATGGTCAACAGACGCCGCAACAGTCGTCCACTGCAGTACCATCGGGGCTCTCCGCTGGACTTAGCGAAGGCGTCAATTGCATCGCAAGCCATCTTCGGGTTCAGTACCGCGGGCGGGCCATTGGTGCATACCCTGTGCGTCCATGGGAGCTTCTTGAAGACGCAGCTCCTATCGTTGGTATGAATGACACCGCATTGAGTTTGAAGTACTTCGATGCCAGGCGTGTCCGAGCCTAACGCATACTCCTTTCACGTACATAATACCATCAATCCCACATGTGCCTTCCACTTTCTTGTGTTTTCTTTTCTGCTTTACATACCCATCTGCATCTACCAGTACTTTATTGTCATGCGCTTTCGTCGCTTCTACTTGGGGCCTTCCCCTTCTTCACATGACTCGTTGTCATCGGTTTCGGCAACCCTCCTGGAGAGATTATCAGGTTGTACATACTTATGGATAAAGCTGGGCGTTAGATGGGGTTGGGCAAATTATAGCATATCATGGTCTGTTGCGGGTTCTTGCAGGATGGCATCGAGGAGCGGGTTGCATGAGCGAGTACAACACGTCGTCATCTGGTTGCTGTATAGATTAATCCAATTGTCCGTCGCTGCAGTTGAAACTTCTCAGCGACGAGCTTAGTTCTTCTAAGACTCCACTTGATACAGGCGTAATGATCCATGCACTTAGGCATGAATGTATCCGGCTCCCTGGAAGTGTTGGCAACGACTCTCAGTTGCAGCAAGCAACTGCCATGCATAGGGCAGAGCGGTCGAGGGAGCGGTGAGCGACCCGCCTCAGGCACCGTATCACCTCGGATGTTCGTCTCCGACGTCATGCATTCTTTCTTCGCCTCAGCTACAATTTCTTGATGGGACCCTGCATCTGCATTGAACCTCAACCACCGTGATTGTTTTTACTTCCTCAAACAATCGCAATGATTCCCACGGCCAGATGTCTAGCTGCGAAGCCCTCGGGCTTTTTCAAGCGCAGTATAGATGAGCTTAGCCGCGTCTCCAAAATCGGTGCGTTTTCGCTGTTATCTCCACACTATCATTTCGTAGTATACTGATTCCAGCTGCCGTCTAGCTTGGAACTCCGAAGCCCTTCACACTCCGACCAAGCCCTACGTCCTCCTTGACTTCGAAGATGCCTCCACCGTTGCCGGCTGTAAGACCATGGCCGACCGCGTCGTCGGGGGCTTCAGCACCGCCAGCCTGGACCATGTCCCCGCCGATCCGTCAACGAGCAGCCCGGCGCATGCGCGTTTCCACGGAAGTATTTCCACCAAGTTGCCCCAGAACTGGCGTGTCGAGAGAACCGGTACGTTTTTGTCGGCATGCTCGCGCGCATTGTCCAGACAAATATACCCACCCCTATGACACACACATACACCGCGCCCTTTCCCTTTCCCTTTCCCCTTCGACATAATATCTGGGTATCCCGAAAACTGACCCCCTGCCCAAAACAAAAAAAAAAAAAACAGGCTACGCCGCCTTCCGCAACCAAGACCGCGGCTTCTGGCTCTTCGGCCGTCTCTTCTGGGACGTCGACCCGTACGCCTACCTCGCGCTGCGCGTGAAATCCGACGGCCGCCGCTACACGGTCAACATCCAGACCGACTCGATCATCGAGACCGATATCCACCAACACCGCCTGTACACCCGCCACCACCGCGTGCAACAGCAGCAGCTGCTGCAGTCCGACCGGGACCCCTTCTCGCCTTTCTCCGCCGCCGAAGCCGCGGACTCGCCCGAGCTGGCCGAAAAGCTTTACCCGCAGGGCATCCCGGCCGCGCTGTCGGACGTGCCGCCGGCGTCGACGATCCTTTCGGCGTCGAACAGTGTGACGTTGTCCGGGGCGGCGGTGGACGCGACGGGGTGGGAGACGATCCTCCTGCCGTTCAACGCGTTCGTGCGCACGAATTTCGGGCTGGTGGTCGAGCCGCAGACGTCGATCCTGCGGCAGCGCGTGAAGAGTATCGGGATCGGGTTGACGGATCGCGTGGAGGGGCCGTATGATCTGCGGATTCACAAGATCTGGGCGACGAATGGCATGAGCGAGGCGGAGATCGAGGAGGAGCGGCGCATCTGTGGGGCGGATGCGTTGGAGGTTGATGAGGGCGTGCGGACGAACTGGATTGGTGGTGAACCGGAGTCGTCGGCGCCGAGGGACGATCACGATCACGATCAAGCTGCGCCCGCGGCTCCTTCTCCGGCATCTAAGGGTCAGAATAAGGGCAAGGGGCTGAAGGGACTGCGTGATGAATGGAACTAAACAAAACGGAATTTGGGACCGATAGATTGATTGATACCACCACTCTGAAATGTATATTGGGAAACTGACTATATATCCCTTTTTCTGCTCTCTTTCTCTCTTCTGGGAGCTTATACTAAGCGAGCAGCAGTACCTGCTCGCGTTAACTATATACTACGGCAGTGGAAAGGAATCAGTTCTCCCCACCCGTGATCCGCTCCCACGCCTCGCGGTACTTCTCACTGGTCTGCTGCACGACCTCCTCGCTCATCGCCACGCCCTCCTTCCCCTTCAAGCCCTCCTTGACCAACCAGTCCCGCAGGAACTGCTTGTCGAAGCTGGCCTGGCCCCGGCCGACCTCGTACGAGTCCTTGGGCCAGAACCGCGACGAGTCCGGCGTGAGCACCTCATCGGCCAGCACCACCTCGCCGGTCTCCTCATCGACGCCGAACTCGAACTTGGTGTCGGCGATGATCACGCCGCGCGTCAGCGCGTACTCGTGCGCGATCTTGTACAGCTGCACCGACAGCGACGCAATGGTGGACGCGTACGGCTCGCCGACGATCTCGACGGCTGTGTTTGCCCCGGAAAATAAAAGTCAGCATAACCTTCTGTCCCTTCACAACCCTAGAAAACACCACCCCACTCGATGGCCCCAACTAAGCCGAAGGGCAAAGGAAAGAAACGTACCCCGATCCGGATGGATATTCTCATCATGCGCGCCCAGCTCCGCCTTGGTGCTGGGGGTGTAGATCGGCCCGCCGGGGAAGGCCTCGCTCTCGCGCAGACCCGCGGGGACGGCGAGCCCGTGCACCGTGCCGTGCGTCTGGTACTCCTTCCACGCGGAGCCGGTGATGTAGCCGCGCACGATCGCCTCGATGGGCAGGATGCGCAGCTTGCGCACCTGCATGCTCCGGTTCTGCAGCGCCGGCCGCAGCGCCGCCGGGATCTGCGCCGGCAGGTCCAGCGTCAGGAAGTGCGTGCGGAGACTCGGCAGCGCCGTCGTCAGGATCTCGAACCATTTGCGCGTGCACAGCGTCAGCAGGATGCCTTTGTTGGGGATGCCCTGGTTGTTTTTTGGTGGGTTGAGTTAGTGGCTGGTTTGGATTTGAGGGGAATTGAGGAAAAAGAGGCAGCGGGGCAGAGGGGCACAGGGGCGGTGGAGCATCTACATTCTGCATGATCACATCGTAGGCGGAGATGCGGTCCGTCGCGATGAAGAGGAGAGTCTTCGAGTCCACCTCGTATAGATCGCGGACTTTGCCTCGCGCGATGAGGGGCAGGACACCTTGCAGGTCCGTGGTGGTGTAGGATTCCGTCATGGCGGTTGGGATGGTAACCGAAAGTGCAATTGGGAGAGGTGTTGGAGAGGTAACGGTGGGTTGGTGGTAGGTAGGTAGGATAGGATAGGACAGTGGTGGGAGGAAGCTCAATTGGAAGAGTGAGTCAAATGGGGAAGAGAAGATGGGAAATTGCGGGTGACGCACGATAACTAGACTACATCGATAAGCTTTTTTTTTCCGCCCGTGGGCGGGGTTCCCGGTATGCCTGAGGCAGGACTTTGGCGGGGATGTATACATAAATCGTGCTATCTAGAGCTATTAGGCCAGGCAACATGCAGCTCAGGAGACTATCAGAAGCTTATAACTGTCCTTTGTCAGAGTCTCTTCCCACCATTCCTTCGCCGGCTGGTCTTCTTCTTCATCAAAGATATCAAATCCAAGTTCGTGGCGAGGGTCCGAGAAACGGAATTCTCCCACCAGCCTGGTAATCAGCGACATGGCAACTGTTTCTTCGGTGGTCAACCGCTTCAGATTCATGTTCTCTATTAGATGTGTGATCCGGCTGGTCCTGGGGACCACAGAGATATTCTGCTGCACGATCCAGGAGAGGATGAGCTGGGCCGGAGACCGAAACCTCTTTCGGGACAGCTGGAAAATCTATTCGAGTTGAGTGATTCGAGCTGAGGAGCACGAGGAGCACGAGGACTTACATCCGTGTCTGTCAATGGTCTCATATGACGCTTGTGCCCGATATCCATCAACAAAGGCTTGCCCCCGAGCGGCTGATGAGCCATGACATGGATTCCCTCCATTCTGCAAAACTCCAGCAGGTTGGTCTGTGGGAGATAGCTGTCAAGTGTTTCATTAGCAATCGAATACGCTCGTCCCCTCGGAGTCACTCACGGATGGAGTTCGACCTGGTTGACAGCGGGCCGGATGCGGGCCGTTCGAAGCAACTTCCTGAGCTTGAGAATGTTGAAATTGCCGACCCCTTGTGATGTCAGTGGCAGTCAAGGCAAGTTAAATTGTGGCCTTCATACCAATGAGTCTCGCTTTGCCCTTGTCGACAAGCCGTTCCATGGCACGCCAGGTTGCAGGATATCGCGTGGATAAAAGGTAATCAACCATGCGCTGGTGAATGTGACGGGTTAGCATCGGCTTAGCTGATGTGAATGGCAAGGGTGTACATTTCCATCGGGATTTTGGCGTGGCCGGTGTTCGGGGCCTTTAATGTAGGCATGCGGAACTGAAGCAGATGGTCAATAATCCGCCTGGCCAAATAAGGGGCAAGCCTCATCGTACAGTGCATGAGATAAAGGTCCACTGTACATAGCAGGAGTAGCAGCGGTCAGTATTGTTGAACAGCTGTCAAGGCCAGTGACACACTGACCGTAGTCCAATTTGAGCGCCTTCAAGCTGCGATCAAGAGCAGCCTCGACCTCGCTCGCATCGTGGCACGTTTGGGGTCTTGTGCGGGCGTATTAGACTGGGATCGGTGTCAACACGAAGGAGAACTGACAGCTTGGCAGTCACGAAGATATCTTCTCGCGGAATTTCACTCATTACAATCGCTTCTCCGACCTCCTGCTCGGTTATATACGCGGCCGCCGTGTCGATGTGGCGATACCCGCACAACAGGCCCTTGTACACGACATCCTTAACCTTCTCTCTGGTTGCATCACCGGGGAATGTGCTCATACCAAGGGCTGGGATCGTAACTCCCTGGACGGTGAAAGAGACGGGAATAGTGTCAGGCCTCGTCATTGTGGGCAGGACTTGATTGAGGAAGCTTGGAAAGTCAACGAAGATGTCGAGATGAGAGCTCAAGATATACGGAGCGCGTCTCTTCACCGCATCTTGGACTTTCGAGCCATCACTTGCCCTCGACCCCGCTTCTGGATTGAGGACCTGAAATTAGGAGGCGTGATAACCGGGGTCTTAGCTAAAAAAGAGGGCGCATACGCGCATTAGCAGATGGGTGGGCTAGACGCTATCAGGCAGACTAAGAATCCCATCCCTGTCAGACGCGCAAATCAGATGATGCGCTGTGTTGTGGCTTGCCAGAGACCTGCAGGCGATGCCGTGGCCTATTTGATAGATCAAGAGAGCTTGGTTCGAGTATAAGGCTGAGTGGGCGGATCGAAAGACCGGTATCTCGAGACTGCATAATTGCAGGCATCAGGGTGATTCTCGTGCTGTAGCCCTCTATCCCTTTTGGGCGAGACACAGGGGGCAGCTTTGGATAGTACTCATCGAAGCAATGTGAATGAATAATCCGTAGTCAAACAATGGCTGAATTGTCCTTGATGCACATACCGTACTAGTGACTTGTCTGGGTATTGTAGCTTGGATGATGTTTGCTTAGTGATTCGTACTAGGTAAGTTACCAGTCAGTGAGTGTACTTCGTAGAGCACTGACTTATCCTCCTCCTTCCTATCAACAGTGCTTGCGGACACTAACTTAACTTCCCGAGCACTCCGTACTTTATGCACATTACCTGCAACTCTCATCCTTCAATGAGACACTTTCCTGCATCCTAAGTATGTCCTGTCCTATTTTGGTCCACTCTATCCTCCACTGCCGACGGTCTGGTTCATTCCACCCCAGCTAGTAGTCCATGCCCGACCAGCTCCGGGAGGTCGGACAGATGGGACGAGTCGAATGCCTTTGCTTCAAGAATATAGCACATGTTACATCTGACCTTCGTCTTGAGCCACAATCATAGTAAGTCCTGACGCATATCCTGCACATATGTCTTAATCCTTGGTCATGCGGTCAGCCTAGACTGGGGTGGCAACCATTGGCCAAAATTCCCAGAGCAGTATCAAGCACGACTGACATCACAAGACAAGCAGCTTTGCAATTTTGCGATCACTTGCAGACCCTCGAGACGATTCTATCTCTCCTCTGTCGCAGGATCTCCTTGCCTTTTGGAGAAGTAGATGAGCATGAAATGAGGTCGCCACGAAAGGACGGCAAGCCTGCAATCCCACGGCCAAAAATATGCTTCCCTTTCTCCCTGCGACATCCAGCCCATACAGTGCAGCCTCACCCTTCCACGGTCGTTTTCGATCTTCAGATTTATGGATCTATGACTTGACAAGGGTAGGAGATGCAACATTTCGGACATTTCTTTACCACTTGCTCATCGGCAATTCGGACCGTACTTCCTACCGTTTGTTTGCCCTTCCGAGTCCATGATCGCAACGCGTGAGTCTATGGTTGAACTGTATAAGGCTGGCACAAGGAATTGAGACTGGTTATGTCACTCAAATCAATTTTGGAAATATACGAACGACTGCCGTCGCTCATGGTGGTTTATGACTCGCTGTTGGGTCATCAGATGGCATGATTCTCGTCTACATTTGTGACTCAAAGAGGTGAAGACCTGGAGGCTTCAATCACGGAGAGACTCACTCTCCTCTGTCCCAATGACAATGACACTTGTTTGATCTGCAGCGATCTGCAGCGATCGCATACGATTCAGGATCTAGATCGCATGGCGAGTGGTTTCGCGACAACGGAAGCCCTAGATCGATATGTGGATATGTTTGCCCAAGCTTTCGCGTTCGCCGAGTAGCCAGAAACCTGTACTAAGCAGCCACAGGGAACTAGAAAGGGTTTCAAGCTTACGGAAGCACGCGGCGCGAAGTTGGAAGCTGGCAAGCCGGATCGAGTTCGTGAGAAATATGATATGTCTGGTCGCCGTCAGTCGTGGTGGTCTATGATCTTCTAGTTCTTCGAAGTTCTCGCTAGTGTAACTGGAAGTCAGTGATTTTGGTTAGCCATAGGTTCGAGGACGACAGCCATGGTGAGCTCAGCTAAGCGGTGACTCTCGTCGCCTCAGACCCCGATACGACTCTCGGGGCTCAAAAGTCCAGAGATCGTCCATGGACTTTCGTCTTGGTGTGCTTGTGCATTTCATGGCGCGGGAAAGCGTATGGTGCTATCAGACGCAGAACGCTACTGAAAGGAAGGAAGATGCGTTAGTACCATGCATTGAATACCAAGATCGGGGGCATTGCTTTTTGCCAACAGAGCTCACGACTCGCTAGTGCGGATCATCCCAGTTGCATCATTTTCCCCACACCATCTGATGCAAGGCTACTGGCTGAGGGCTTTGTGTACTTTCGTGAGCTCCGCTCTGGGAGGTCAAACTGTCCCCTCTTTCGTTTTGATTCCAGAAAAGGCGATCTGGTAGTGCTCGGAAGGCAATCTGTCCGAATTTGGGGCCATGCGTGGTTCAGCACCACCACAAGCGTGAGTATTGTTTCCATGCGTGCTGGCTCGGGTGACTCTGCGCTACTGGCCTTCAGTGTTGCAATGGATTCTCTTGAAGTATAAGCCAGTCTTCGGGGGATTAATTGAGCCATGCCATCACTGAGCTTTAGTGATATTGGGCACAAAGGGGCTAACAAGTAATATCAATATTAAGAAAAGCGGTTTTCCAGGTTCTCAATTTGCAAGTGCCCAATCTTAGTAATTCTAACTTGGAGAAGCCAGTCGCAAGAAGCTTCAACAATTTCTGCTCCGATTGTGATGGTCCCGGTGATTTTGTAGGCGTTCATTCACCATGGACGACTCTTTCAGCTGATGGAGAATGATGTGACACGATGAGATACAGAAAAGCGAATATTCTTGGGGGCCTTTCGCCCTCCTAGGCGAGCTGCGAGAGCTCAACGAGGATTCTGAAATAGCTTATGTGACCAGTGAGCATGAAATCTTCGTAGGAAGCGTGGACTGAGACATGCTATACCGCCGGTGTAGGGATGGGTTGTGGCCAGCCGGGCCATCTGGTAATGGGCTCCAAACAATGTTTGGAATCTGGATCATCTATAATGACCCAGCACATTGCTGGATTCGAATATAAGATTTGATAGGATTAATACTATGGCCTCTCACAACAATGCTAGCAGGATCTGGTCATCTCGCTACCGCATGTCCCTTGAGTTTATCGGCCTCGCGATGCAGCCTTTCCGAATCTCCATCAAAACGCCAACAGAGGGGCGCTTAGGAAGATAGAGTATAACGGACAGTTCACGGAATCGAGAAATCAAAAGCACAGTAATAGAACTGACAGGGAGAGACTCACTGGTGGTCACGCCAACTACTGACCTTCCGGCGTGTTCTGTGGCGGGATAGGTCTTTCTTCGAAGCAATCATAACACTGTATTCTAATATCAGTGTCACAGCTGTTCCCCAGACCATGCTGGTAATGACGTACCTGCCACGACGACCTAGTCGAGCGCTATACGTGGAGCGGCGTTCTTGCTCGGGAAGTGGCTAAGGACCAAACCCAGCACCCTCTGGCCGAAGGAGGCCCAAGCGAAGTCGGATTCGTCCTTCAGCTGCCATCGTGTTGCGTCGGCGAGGGTCTTGCCGTCCTTGAAAATATCATAAAAGAGGTAGTCCATCGTTTAGTCCGTGGTGAGCTCGTCCAAGGAAACAAAGAACGAAGAGGAAGACAGAGAGTAGCATTTATAGACTTCTCGTTCTATGTCTAGTGAGCCATGTGTCGTAGGAATGCATAGATGCATAGTTGAGTGGTAGGTCGTCGAAGGATTGTCGAGGCTGGTCTCGGCCTCCCCGTATAAGTTACTCGTAACGGTCACGCGTTATGTATAACAATGAACGAGGATCATCGCCAAAATTCAGTAAGCCTACCCAGCTTAGATGCCGTGTTCAATCCCGGAAGCAGGGCTGTACGCCGAAAGCAACAGCCGGCAGCTATACACAGGGTGGCTATTCTACGGGGTGACAAGTGGAGTGAGTATCTCTTCCAGTTCTCTCGCTTCCAGACTGCTTAGCGGAATCCACGGAGCTTGTAAGTCTCCGCTTACACATCAATTTACCTTTCCTTCGACTGTTTAGATTTGATTGGGCCATGGCTATGTCCAAAGAGCTGAAGTAAGTGGATAAGAGGAATGGTTGATATTAGCGAGAAGGAGCGTGATGCAGATCTTTCTAATTTTACCTGGAGTAATAGCAACATATTGCACATATAGGTAAATTAACAAGCATGAAAGCTAGGGTCGCTGCGTGGAACAGCGCGTGTTCAGTGTGTCTATCACGCGGAAAGTGAGGGAGTAATTGGCAACGGATCCACAACGTGTGAGAGGCAAGTGGAATCTTCACTTGGTTACTATCTGCAAGAAGCTAGTAGCTAGCTAAAGATCTAGCATTTTTGGCTGGCGCCTAGGATCGAACTATGAAAGTTTAGGTCAGTCCAGAGAGCTCGTTTCCACTTGGTTCTGTTACTCACACGGGTGTTGGTCCCGATATCATTTATCAACCCTTCGATCCCAAATACAACAAAGCTCTTGCTCTGGTCGAGCTCATCTTGCGTGCTCTCATATAAAACCTTTTGCGCCTTGCGGACGGCAGTCACTGAAGCGCGACCCCTGAGCAAGATCTTGTAAACGAGGTGGAAAGTTGGCATGCTCGAGCCGCCAAAGTAGGCAGCCAAGTCCATGCCTTCGGGCTGTATGCCGATGTTCACCGACAGGCCCCAAATTTCGGATGCTGCATGGGCCTCAAGGGCAGCGAAAAGTTTAGGGGACAATGACCGCTCGAGTTGTGCTTCACCTCCCGATTCGGACGAGCCGGACAACCATAGCGTCGCCACGACTTTATTTCCTTCCTTGGGAAATTGGCCGTTCTCATGATTCAGGCCTCACGTCCGGAGAGGCAGCGACGTTTCGCGGGCCATGATAGGAAGTGGTGCTTCCATATCGCTGAAGTTCAGGCCGTCGGGGCCGATCTTCATCTTGACGTGAAGACACTCTTGAGATGCGCCCAGTCCCGAAAATACAGCTCGGTAATGTCATCCCGGCCAACGCATCCGATCGCCCACCAAAGGCACCGTCGAATAGGTGAATCTGGATGTATTTGCTGTTTTACATAGATCTATAAATGTTTTTAGTTTGATGAACCTCACGGAGCCAGTGGCGGGAGGAGAAGATGAAGCACAAATCAGACAACTCACTGTGGCTTGATATCAGGATTTTCCGGTGCATCTGAGATCGCCCCATGGACTTGGAAATGATGGCCCAGAAACTCCTTCCGTGTCAGATCTGGCTTGCGCCGGATTGCCACGATCTGCTTGATGAAGTTTTCATTGGCAGACAATTTCCCAGGATTGTGTTGGAGTTGAGGTACGAGGTAAGGTAAGGTAGCGTCTCCGTGAGACAGCTGTAGGTGCAACGGATAAATAGGTATGAGATATATAGCAATTCTGCAAGTTTTCACACTACGAATTGTGCATTGGTCCTTAACCCCGCCGCCATTCACCTCACTGCCACGCATGTGTAACTACCAGTACTACATAGTATGTACTGTACTGCAGTTACGATAACCCCTTCAGCGAGGCTGGTGGGGTGGGGTTCGCGGGGTGAGTGGGGGGTGGGGGGAAGTGCCTAGTGCACAGTACACTGTGTACTGTACTCGTACAACATGTGGCGCTTCGGGAGATCTGCCTACCGGTACCCGTAACTATACCGTATATCCTCTCTTCCGCCAGAGATCAATCTCTGCTTGAGATATATTCTTACTTTTTTGGAATGCCTAAAAGTTCGGTGTACTAGGAGAAAGAATGAGACATCTCGTACTGTAACCGAAAGGATATCGATACAGCGTCACTGGAACAGCAGAACAACAAACAGCTTGAGGTCGAGAGCAGAGACTCTGGCATGATACTCACCCCCGCTGTTTGGATATCTTCTACATCGTACATCGCCATGCCCCTGGTATGGTGGAGCATACTACCGGCAACTCGATCCAGCGCGCCGGCGCATCCAGTCGGACGGCCTGAAGAAACTTCCTCCCCGTTGGGATTCTTGGGGAAAATTCATAATCTTAGTAGCATGATCCTCACCCCGCCGGGCGAGTGGGCCTGGCCTTGAATGCACTCATAGCAGATCCCGACCCATCAGCCAGCCGATCGCATCCGATACTTGACTCAATCCAGCATCAAATGATAGCAGCCCCAAGTAGCATAGAAGACCTATAAGTACCATCCTAGGGTCTCTAGTCTAACTCACCAAGCCATCAGAGTCCCTATTGCACGTGAACAACACTCAATCTTGACCTCTTTCACACACAAAATGGCTTCTGCCCGTTCGAAATATCAAACCACTACTTCCGATGTCGAGGGCTATACTCGTACCAAACATATCTATATCCCCATGCGGGATGGGGTGGAGTTGTGCGCTGACCTCTTCCTACCTTTCGCCGCCTCGAAGGAAGGGAAACAGGTCCCCGTGATCGGTAGCATGGGTCCTTATGGCAAGGACATCCATGCGTCCACATTCGGACTCCCTAAGACCCCGATTTACGCGGAAATGTACAAGCACATTAAGCCACTGGGCCCAGATGCTGCGTTTGAGCTGTGCGAGCCAACGATTTGGGTAGGTGGACAAATTTAACACTCCAATCGGTTTCTAACTGTTGTGCGCAGTGTCGAGAATACGGCTATGCTCTGCTCCGGGTTGATGTGAGAGGCGTTGGAGGTAGTCAAGGAAAACTCGATCCCTTTGGCCTTGAGCGCTCTGAGAAGATCCAGGCCGATGCAGAGGGACAAGGTAATCCAGCCAAGCGATATCTCTTGACTCTTTATTGATAAATTAGGACTGATTTGTCTTGCCAGATCTCTATGATGTCGTGGAATGGGCTGCCGTCCAACCCTGGTGTACAGGGAAAGTAGCTTTCTCCGGCATCAGCTACTTCGGCATGGTTGGCTACTGGGCTGCCATGCAGAGACCCCCGCATCTTGCCTGTGTCATGTCCTACGAGTCCGCATGCAGTTTGTATCAAGCGGCTCGACGAGGTGGAATCTACAGCAACAACTTCCAGTCCCACTGGTATCACAACATTGTGGTTCCCTACCAGAGTGGGAGGCAGGACGGCACTCTCACCGAAGAACAGTTGGCCGCCAACCGTGTGGACTATCCCAAGCTGCTCACCCAGACAGAATACCCCACCGAGGGTGCGTGGGCGGTGTTGGAGAAGGTCCGCAAGTTGTCGGATATCGAAGTACCATTCTACTCCGCGGGCAATTGGACTGATCCTGAGCTTCATCTACCCGGCAACATTCGCGCTTTCAACGGTATCTCATCCCAGCATAAATGGCTGGAAATGCATACTGGAAACCATCTGGGCGCGTTCTATGAGCCAGAGCACATTGAGCTGCAGAAGAAATTTTTGGACCACTTCCTCTTCGGCAAGAAGTCGAATGGCATGCTCGATATTCCTCGCATCCGCTTGCTTCAGCACCACGGTACGGAGACTCTCTATCGCGAAAACGAGGTGTCTTTCCCGCCCGCAGACGCTGAGGATGTTGCTTTCTACCTCGCACCAGAGAAGAAGTTGACCTTGACCCTACCACCTGGCAGCAAGGAGCCCTTGGCCTATGCTGGATTCAAAGAGTCTCTCAAATTCTCCCTGGATTTCCCATTCTCGGAATCTTTTGAGCTTTTGGGATCCCCTTTCCTCGAGCTCGAAGTGTCTACACAAGCCAAAGACCTGGATCTCTTCATTTACCTGCGGGCTGTAGACGTTGACGGCAACGTGATCGTACTTCATGGAAACCACGGCGAGCCGATGGACACCTTTGCCCGAGGATATTTCCGTCTTTCGCACCGCGATGAGGTCGCCAAAGACTTCTTGAAGGAAAGGGTCCTTGCCCAAAAGCCAACGGCACCCTCTGAAGTTACACAAGGGAAGGTCTACTCGGTTCTCGTTCCTCTATATCCGGCGGCATTTCTGTTTGACCCGAACCAGAGGCTCGAGCTCGAGATCGGTTCCGTCAACACCCCTAGCACCATTTCTCCGATGCGTCACGAAGGTGGTGATAGACTTCCGGAACGGTTTGAGGGCGAGAACGTCATCTTCTCCCACGGGAAGCTGGTTCTACCCCGGGTGCGGCGGTGAGTTGGATGCTCTTTATGGAGGGGCTCGGGATTATGTTTCGCTAGGAATCTAGCGGGATCGCGGTCCGAAAAACATCCATGTAGGATAGGGATCGGTTGTATATGAGTATGAGTCCAGTATCAATAACCAGAATGGGTTGCGAGATTTGTAGGAAGAGCCCTCAGGTTCCTCATTCCAGACTAGTCTGCGCTTGTTATTCTTTTACAGACAACCTTATTTGTAACTGTTAACCGGCGCTTAGATTGAAAGACCTGAAACCACCTTGGGTTTCCGAGAAACAATTGTCTATGACACTGAGTACCCGAGCTTTGATGTCTCCACATCCGATTATTGCCCGTCCGTAATGTGTAGAGATCTCTGGCTAGCGACAGACGGTGCGGAGCAAAACTGGATATATTCAGCTCGGCTTGACACGTTGTAGTTTCAGCGAAACAGATAAAGTTACCAGAAAACGCTATTTCTGAGCATTTGTGTACAATTCCTTCTAGCTGATGATGACAGACACCAATAGATACTTTAGTGAATAGTTACCTGTCCTCAGTGTGGCATGGGCCTCAGCTCCTTGTCGAATCAATCGCTTTATGGTGAGATCCCTAACGAGATTGATGTAATGTTTTCCACTCCTGAGAAGATAGGAATAAGTTCCTAAGTTCAAGGTTGATGACTCGGCTTTCTTCATTGCAGTTGATAGTCATGTGACCTCACGTGATGTGGTTCGTGGGAAAACAAATGGTCGGTACAACAAGTTTACAACCAGTTGAAGATAGGAAGGACTCAAGGTACCGACTGAGAAAGAGGGTTTCCGGTCGATTCATTGACAGTCCAGAACAAACAACAATCCTGGCAACGACCCCATGATATAAAGCGGACGCACCCAACCTAGCTGGCGTTCCAGAATAACATTGAAGGCGAGCCACACCCTGTGGCCGTCTGTACTAGGCCTTCCTCTGCAGCTAAACATATCCACTCCTCCCCTTCTACACCCCCACTTCTCTTCCCTCTATTGTTTACCGCGGTGCAACATCTTCGCGTTTTCATTGAAACCTCCAGTAGACGATCGGGCTACTGAACAAGCAGGGAAGTGGGCTTGCAATCATTCAATTCGCCCGCCGACTCATTTGCTTCGCATCGGACGACACGATCTACTTCGCGCTGGCTGCAAGCTGCAAGCTGCAAGACACTCGAGCGTTCTGTTCTGTTGAGCCGGCCTGTGCCTGCGGAAACCATCAGGTCCACTGTATACAATGTGCAGATAAGAATCACAATGAGCCGTTATCTCACCCCTTCCAAAGTGGCACTTCTGTGCTTGATCTCCATCTATGTAGATGGCGTTGTCCCTAACTCTTCAGCAATCCATGTGCTCTCATTCCTGGTCTCATGCCTGAGTCCCCTGGACCGGGAGGCGCCCCCCTCCACGGTGAAGAAAGACACACGAAGCTCGGTGTCGATTACAGACCTTGAAGAATCCCTGCTCGGTCACGCGTCTTCCGTCCCCGGTCGCTCGATATGGGATCTGTTCCTGAAGAAGATCTGGTCCGTCGACTCCTGCGATGCGCTGGAGGTGTTTTTTGGTGAGATCTCCGACCTCTTAGTCAAAACCAGAGACGAGCAGATTCGAGATCGCGATGCCGGTTTGGCTCCCGATACGAGCTCGACCAAACTCTCTCGGTGCTCGCCCCTTGGGGCATTCGTCCGGAGATCCCAGTTGGAATTCACCCGACTACAATTCCACGACTCAGTCAAGCTCTGGAAGGGGTTTGTGAGATACAGGTTGCCGACTTACCGCTCATGGGCGCGCAAAAACCCAGCTGGATCGCAGGCTCCGGTCGACATTAATCTGCTAGAGCTTGGCTTGGATACGACAAGCCATCTTTCGCAAGTGGCCTACGGCCATATTGATGACGATTCGGAAGATCACAAGTACGTCAGCACGAAAGATGTGGAGCGGCTCCTGGAATTCCAGATCAATGAGTTACAAAGTATTATCACCGCCTTTCTGCTCGTTCGGTTCTCGCTGCTGACGCGCTTCAGGCTTGGGTGGGAGAGTCCCAGATGAGATGAAAGCACAGCTAGAGCGCATCATGGCATCGGGTGTGACGGTGCCGAACTTGATACACTATCTAAGGTAAGTTTGCTATGTATCCCATGCCTATGAGCACTGGGAATTGACGGGGTCGTAGGTTTCTCGATGCCTGGAGGGCGGGCGACTATCCCTCGTCCTTCGACAATCTCCATCGCTACTTCGACTACACCATGCACAGCCGTGACAGAAGCTCCTATCAGTACGCATTGTTGAATCTTGCCATCCTGCAGGCTGACTATGGGTGCCATGGAGAGGCTGTGTCAGCCATGCAGGAAGCAGTCTCGATTGCGCGTGAATCGCATGACATGAATTGCCTCAACTTCTGCATGAGCTGGCTCTATCATTTTGGCAAAGCTTTCCCCGAGCAGATGAAAGATATACAGAACACCGGAATGCTGGGCAATGAGAAAGAAGGCCTTTCGTTCCTGAAGGCGAAGGCCAAAGAAACAGAGATGTGGAGTCTGCTAAGCACCACATTGTTGAGTGAAGCGAAACTCGAGCTGCAACATGTATGTGGTCTTTCTCGACCGTCCAGGTGGTTTACTGACAATGCCTAGGGGGAGAGCCTTGCCGCGTCCATGGAAAACATAATCCGCGCTTCACACTTGAATGTCACGAAGAATCTGATGAACTCAGTGGGCCCACAGCTTCTACTTCAAGCATCGCTCTTTGGGAGAATAGGTTCTGTTCCCCAACGAAAGACTTGTGAGCCTTACTGACAATCCAGCAGGAATCACCCATCTATCTTGGTTGAGCAGCGAAATCTTCCGTGAATGCTATGCGAGCAGAGCACCATTTGAAGATTATCTCAAGAGCACATTTCGCAGTTGCCAGCTTGTATGTTGAGTCCCCCCCCTCCACTCCTCATTACGGCAGTTTCGCTAATGATCACCACCCAAAGCTCGCACAACAAGGTCGCTACAAGGACATATCCACCCGCATGGACCAGGTCACGCCCGAAAAGCTTCGATCCCTAAAAGCGAACCAATACTGGACGTTCTTCACCGGTGTGCTGCAGCTAAAGCGACATATCTACCGGTATGCCTTTTCTTCTGACAAATATCTCTTGTAGAAAGAACCCAAACAGTCTACTAACATCCTTGCAGCGACAATAAGGTAGCCGCCGAGCATCTTCTCTCCCAACTGCAAGCGATCCAGCTCCCAGACACCGACATCTCCCTCCTCCTGTCCTTCCTAGCGATCGACTTCCGCATCCGTCAGGGCCACTACGCGCGCGCGCTCGAGCTCGTCGAATCGACCGCCCAATCGATCCACCAGGACAACTTCGACATCTTCAGCCAGGTCAAGCTCCTCTGCCTCAAGGCACGCATTCTCGAGAAGTCGGGCCACCCGCAGCGCGGCTTCTCCCTCGCCATGCGCGCCGCCAGCATCGCACACCGGTCGCGCCTCCTGCCCAGCCTGTGGGAGTCCATCTGTGTGCTGGGCGGGGTGCTCCTCAGCCTGCGCGAGTTCGACGCCGTCGCCGCCATGCTAGAGAGCATCATGCCGCAGATCCTGGAGGCGGACGATTGCGACCTCGCCGCCCAGGCGTATTCGCTGCTCGTGGACGCCAACATGGGCGTGGCCGGGTCCCTTTGGAGTCAGAGTCAGGGGCAGCAGGGGCAGGGGCAGGCCCAGTCGCCCCTCAAGAAGGAATACTTGAACCGCGCGCTCGGATACCTGGACTGTGCCTATGAGCAGTACGAGGAGCTCGAGGACATCAGGGGGCAATGTGAGATGATGGCGAAGAAGGCGACCGTCATGCATCTGACGGGGGATCCGGTGCTGGCCAACGACTACGCGGCCAAATACCTCGACCTTAAGAAGCAGCGGCGTCTTGAGTCGGCGGATGTGTAGGCTATGATGCTGTCGCTCTCTTGTGCATATGTACCGAGTATAGCAGACCACGGTTTTCCAAGGGAACTGGTGGTGCTTCCTCTGTCTCCTTTCATGTCTACTTAAAAACGAGTCTACATCATATTTCAGACGGTAGATCTTACGATAGGACCATACGAATACCGACGAAGCACTTATGCCAGGCGAAATCAAATCTCGCGCGATGGGGACTTGATTTTCCACCCGAACTGACAAAAGCGCAGTACAATAGGAAAATTGAAAATTGAAGCAGCATTGTGTGTGTGACTCGCTCTCTGTCTCTCTCTTTATCTCTCTGATTTCATCCCATCCATCATCCCTCCCCTCTCCTAGAGTTGCTTTACATTTTGCATGTTCCGCAATAAATGTACATTTGTCCCTTCAGTATCCGGTCTTCCTCGTAAACATAGTTCCAAGAAGGAAGCCGATAAGTCCGTCATTTGACCACTGGACCATTTAGGTGGCCTTGTCCTTGTTGTGGTAGTTGACGCTGGAGTTCCAGCTGTAGATCATCAAAGTTAGCCATCCGACCTGCGATCAAGGAAAGACGCACTTCCGTCGTTCCCAGCGTGCTGTACGGCGGGGGCAGCAGCCGGGCGCGAGTGATTGCGGTGGTGTTGAAGCAAGAAGAGTCGGGAACTTACAAGATGGTCTGTTATGAATGAAGCAATTAGTCACCGTTGCTCAGCTTTGCATGGATTCTCGGGAGAAGGTTACTCACCTTGTCACCGTCACCCCAGGGGAAGTTCTTGACCCGGATGTTCTGGTAGGGGTACTCGGTGCGCTCCTCGAGAGGAGGCATGTGGTCCCAGTGCTCCCAGTGCTCCTCCCAGAGGTTGTAGGCGTTGAGACCGCCGAGGATCACGATGGGGACGACGGCGCTGGAGTTTTGTGTAAGTAGAAAGACTTGGGTCGGTTTGGGCGGGATTGATCCGGGAAGCAATCCCAGGAATGGGGTCAATTGCTGCCATAGGGACGAAACGTACTAGATGGAGAGCTTGCGCCAGAGGTCTGGTGGAACATCGGAACCCCGTTGAGTTAGCATGCAGGTTCAGATTGGGTAGAGCATTGAGATGGCAAGTCAACGGGACCCAATTGGGGCCAACTCTTTTGGGAGGGGTTACGCACCACTGGTGGCAGCAGCGTGGTGCTTGACGGCCTCTCTCTCGCGGTTGAACTCGTTGTCGACAGCCCAGGAGGGGAGCTTGGACTCGGTGTGGTTGAGGCGGCGCTGGACGGCGGAGCGGACCGGCGCAGCACGCAGCTGCTGGGGCAGGCGAAGAAGGCTGCGCTGAGCGTACATGGTTGGGTCTTGGTGGTGGTGGACAATGACAATCGGGAGTGTCAGTGGTAGCAAGTAGTGTTGGTGTGGAACAACGTACGACGTCTTTGACGGTGGGAATCTCAGCGGATGTCGGCCCTGCCGGCTTAACGAACCAAAAGCCGCTTAGCGTCCCCGTGATTCGCTGGCTTCGGCCACAGGCAGTGCGCCATTATGTCAGCAGCATTGCATCCCTCGACCGTTGACCGCCCCGTGATGTCACAGTCACGTGTCCGTCCCATGCTTTCTCGAAACTCCGGAGTTAACGTTGACTGGTTGCTGCTTGATCCATGCGTCTGGATCGCCGGGGCGGCGAGATCATCGAGATACCTCAAGGTTTTCCCACTTTTGCTTCCGGTGGGTAACTTATGCGTCGATTAGATCAGTAGAGACGGGATGGGGCTTCGTATTACCACATGGAACGGTGAGTGCGGAACAACAACCATAATGACATGATGGACAACATAGACCGGGGCCAAATCATGTACTAATTCGTCTCTCGCAGTCAATGGCATCCGGTGGGTGAGCTATGCGTCGTAGCTGCAAATGGCTGGTCACTGACGCGACGCAGAAATCCATTCTCCTACGAACCATGGAGAGGCAAGCGTACCTTCGATGTATGTCGATCCCTTCGGTCTTCTCGCGCATCAGATTCGCACTAACATGATTAGGCGATGTTTGACATCCTCGAGGCAGACATCGTAGTCTTCCAGGAAACAAAGATCCAACGGAAGGACCTGCGCGATGACATGATTTTGGTCCCGGGATGGGATTGCTATTTCAGCTTGCCCAAGGTGAAGAAGGGTAAGTCTTATGCGCATGAGTTTGGCTGTTGGCTCTGACTGACCGGCTTCAGGCTACTCTGGAGTGGTCGTTTACACTCGCAATGCGACCTGTGCCCCGATCCGTGCGGAGGAAGGGCTTACGGGTATCCTTTGTCCACCGAACTCCTCGGTCTCCTTTCGCGACCTTCCGGAGGACCAGCAAATTGGCGGCTATCCGACTTTGGAGCAACTCAGTGGCCTCGAGGTCGATCCTGCTACCCTGGACTCGGAAGGGCGTTGTGTCATTCTCGAATTCCCTGCTTTCGTGTTGCTGGGCATATACTCACCGGCAACCCGGGACGAAACTCGTGACTCATTCCGTCACGACTTCATCGACCTGATGGATGCCCGCGTTCGCAATCTCGTCGCGATGGGAAAGCGAGTGTTTGTCACGGGTGATCTGAATATCTCGAGGAGAGAGATCGATGCAGCGCATGCGGCCGAGGCGATTAGGAAGGGAACCATGACCGAGGATGAATGGATCTCGATGCATGCTCGACGCGTTTTCAACCAGTGGTTTGTGGATGGCAAAGTCATTGGTGAGCGCGACGAAGGAAGAGAGAAGCCCGTGCTCCTTGATATCTGCCGGTCATTCCATCCTGACCGCAAGGGGATGTATACCTGTTGGGAGCAGAGAATCAATGCCCGCCCAGGCAATTATGGCGCAAGAATTGATTACGTCCTCTGCAGTTTGGAAATGCAAGATTGGTTCTGCGATTCCAACATTCAGGAAGGGCTTATGGTAGGTTCTGTCTATCAAGGGATGAACGCGAATCGTGGCTGACAGCAGACGATGCAGGGATCGGACCATTGTCCTGTCTACGCCGTTATGAAGGACAGCATCATGTTCGAAGGAGAAGAGACGAATGTTCGCGACATCATGAATCCGGCAGGTGTTTTCAAGAACGGCGAGCGTCGGCAAGAGTACACAACAAAGTTACTGTTGCCCACTTCTGGGCGTCTAATCCCAGAGTTTGATAAGCGAAGAAGCATCAAGGATATGTTCATGCGAAAACCCACTAAATCATCCCAAAGCTCCCAAACCAGATCCCCCCCAGATCCTCGGCCAACGGTAGTGCAAAAGGCAGCAGCGCTGTCTGCTTCCGAGTCAAATCCCAACGAAACGGTCAGTGGTGCCAACGGCGAAAGTAGGGGCACAGTACGCAAGCGATCGGACAAACCTGAATCCCCCATCAAGCGATCGAAAAGCATGAATGCTCCCGCACCTGCGCCGACTAGCTCTGGGCAGAAAACGTTGAAAGGGTTCTTCAAGCCCAAAAGTGCCCCCACGAATTCTAGCGACGATTGTTCCACCAAGGATGCTGAGCTTGCTATCTCTCAACCGTCGAATTCTTCATCCACAACAACTGGCCCAACCGCGTCCTCGCAACTTGAGGAACAGGAGGTCGTGGACGCTGTGATCAAAACATCTGCAGAAGAAGCCGACAGTCGCAATTCATCCAGTGTCTTTACCCCCGAGGAAGACGACGCTGTTTTTGACCCGATCGTCAGCAAAGAAGACTGGTCCAAGCTGTTCACGAAAAAAAGAGCTCCCTTGTGCGAAGGCCATCAGGATCCATGCATCAGCTTGACGACGAAAAAGCCTGGACCGAATTGTGGACGAGCGTTTTGGATATGTTCGAGGCCTCTGGGGCCGAGCGGCAACAAGGAGAAGGGAACGCAATGGCGATGCCCGACATTCATCTGGGCAAGCGATTGGAATTCGTCATCGTAGCTGTGGACAATTGCTCATCTCATCTCAGCCCAAAATTGTCTTTTGCTTGGAACGGTTGATGGAAATGATACCCCCCTTTTGAGTTTGATTCTCGAGTGCGACATCGAAGGTTGATATCTGGATTGGCGGCCTTTTGCTCCGTTATGGGTAGTTGTTCATTAGAGAATCTAGTAATAAACTATTTCGACGACATAATCAGCACATCTTATCAGTAACAACTGTTAGCAATACTTGTAACCTACCAACTAGCCTTTCGGCTTCATCATCATAGCTACCAAGCCCAGCCACCACCCCGCCATCATCTTTTGTCTGTTAGGTAGCAGCCTAAAGTTGAAATCCAAATCCACAGCGGAGACGCTTTGGCAGGTGATCCTTGATGAAACAAATGACCCCGGACCCGCATGGTGTATCCACTTGCGCGCATGAAAGGTGGAGGACTGGTGTTATTGTATGAAAGGAATCACTCTGCGGTTTCCAGCCGCGTGGGGCTATTGTCAGCAGTGCTATTCGGTGCTGGATCCAGCTCTCCCAGAAGATAGCTTTTTCTGGACGTGTTACTCTCAGAACAAGAGGTAGTGCGAGTTGCCTGCAATGAAAGAGATTCTCAGAATACAACTACTCGCAACCATAGTGAGAGAATACAGCTATTCGCAACCATGGTGAGCGAATTTACTATTTGCAACTACAAGAGCGAATACAAGCAAGCAAAGTCTACGTGAACAATACACATGCGCAGGAAGTTTAATTTGTTAGTCCAAACCACCATATGTCAGATTTCTAAGATGATCCTATGCAGCTTGTTTGTACTTTCCGTAGACTTCGATGCACTTTATGCTCTCTCAGTCGGACTGGATGCATGATAACAGATAAACATGGAATACATTCTTTGCGCAACCCGTCCCTCAACCATATCATGCTAAACTCTCAGAAAGATCCAGAACATCGGGGCTGGTGGAAGGTACAGTCTTGTTTGATCTGGGAAGAATGAGAAATACAGAATTTGAAAATAGCAAGGAAAATGTTAGAGATAACAAAAGGGTGCAGTCAGTCGGAAGACTTGTCCTCGGTCCGTCGTCCCTCCCTCTCGTTTGTCTCCTCCTCTGTCTCTCGTCCCCGATCGTGTAGAATGCAGCGAGTGCACCAAGCATCATCAGGGAGCTTGAGCAGCCTGGACCAGTGTGGAGGCCAGCTCCAGACCGTTCCCAGCCGCCCTCTCCTCCGACGTCGCGAGAGCATCATCACCACTTTCGATCGACGCCTCGCTTCAGTAGATGTCCGCCAGGAAGTCCGACAGCTCGAAAGGCTCGCCAGCAAGTCTCTCGTTCATGCCGAAGTTCGCCGAGGCAAAGATCATGGCGCGCTGGTTTTCGCTCTCAACCTCCGCGATGAGATTGTCGAGCTCAGCGGCGCTGAAGCGGTAGGGCCCGTCCATCATGGCGGACTCGTCGGAACCCACGACACTTTCGAGATCCGCGAGATGGTGGTTCGGGGTCTCGGGATCAGCGCTGGTTGTGGAAAGGGTGGTGTCAGGGATAGAGCTGCCGACTTCAGATTCGGTGCTTGTCGCAGCCGGGGTGCGAGTCCGCTTGGTGGGCTTGGATTCGGGACGAGACGAGCCACGTCTTTTTTTCTCGGATGGTTTGCGTGGAGTGTACTGATAGTCGGGGTGATCTTCGGCATGCTTGCGTTTAGTCTCCTCGGCCAGTTTTCTCCACTCGGCCTTCACCTCTTCAGGTTCAGCCTTCCACTGCTTTCCCAGCAAGATGGCTATCAAAGTCAGCTCACAGTACTTCAACATAGTGAAAGTGTAGAAACTTACAAATTTCATTGTTGGTGAGCGCTGGGTTGCTTTCTTTCACCTTTGGATGATGGTTTTGACGATATAGGATGAACGCGTTCGGGGGACGAGGGATCTTGTTAGGTTTCACAGGTATGGCCTGGATAGTAATAGATGCAGCCTCAATCTCAGTTGCTGGCTCCTTGATTGGAGCAGCAAGAGCTACCGCAGTTCCCGAAAACGCAGGAGTTTGCAGAATGCGAAGTGCATTGATGGATTCGTCGAGAAAAGCAACCGTTGGGGTCCCGATAAGCATACTTTTGAATCGTAATGTAAGCACACATGAAAAGAACCACCTATGTTGGAAGCAACTCACCTCAGACGAGTCTTGATCTTGTCAACGTTCCTCTGACCAATGACATCCACCACGTTAAGTGGAAGTAGCACCTCATTGTTCGTGTTTCTGAGATGGCGCAAGGCATCCTGCCAAAGCAGCTCAGTGATATTGTCGGTGCGCTCAACAGGAGCTCTCATGGCTAGAGGAGGGGTACTCATCTTGACCGATGAGATCAAAGCTGATGAGTTCTGAAGGTGGTAGAAGAATGATCAAGCTCAGTTGTGTGTGATATCGAGGATGTGGAGGAAGTTAAGAGTGGGTTGGTGTAGGAAAGAAAGAGAGAAGGATCTTGGAGACGGAGGAAGACGAGGAGATATATGTACCTCACAAAACCTATTCAACACCAAAAACGTATCTGAATAAGAAATTTGCAGAACTGGACATAGTGAATGATATCAAGTTCAAGATATAGTGGGGTGGTCTAGGAGCTTCTTTGTTTTACAAACAAGCGGGGGGTATCCATATATTCACAAGAACACGGATTTTTGAACAACAGTAGGGAGTTTCACATCTAGTCATTTTTCTACAGGAAAATTATTAAAGCCCCTCCAATTCCTGTCTTCTTGACTTGACAACTTTCTGTCTCTTCATCCTCCACATTTCCTCAACTGTTCCTCCACCATCAGTCTCTCTTCTTCAACCTCATCAAAACTTACACCATTCCAAGTTCCTGTTATCCTCAGTGTCGACAAAAAGAACAACCATGGCTGTAGAGACTAAAGTTCTACTCCGTGTCATCGATGAACTCCGGGCCGATGCCAGTCTTGACTATCAGACTCGGCAGCGAGCTGCATACATTTCTGCCTCCTTTTCCGTCCATGCCAACAAGTTCAGACTCATGGCGCAGGCTGCCGCTCTGGACGCTGGCGAATTCGAGATTCCCTCCCCACATCTGATCCATAATCCGGACGAAAACACGAAGACACTTGTCCAGCTGCATGGCAAGAACCTGCAAGCGGTCATGTCTGAATATGATGTGAAACCTGGTATTGGGGATTTCGAAGGCCATCCAGTCAACCTCTTCGGCATGCTCGATGGCGACATCGATACCATTCTTGAGGGGGAGAAACTGGCTAAGTTTCATCGGGCTCTCTTGAGAGCTGAAAACAACGCAAACAATGATCTGACCAGGGCGACCAAGAAGTATGGCTACCACTACATCTTCAGAGTCGGCCTTTCACACTACTATTTGGCGTAAGTTGGCATGCTAGTACATTAGGTATAAGCTAAACAGTTGATTAGGAAAACCATCGCGGAGCATGTCAACTTCTGGAAGACCGATGACCGTGGGGTGGCATACGGCGCCCAGACACAGGCGTTGTGCTACCGAGCTATGGAGAGAAGAATCTGCTTGAACGGTAATGAGAAGAGCTTCATAGTTCGCATGACCAAAAGCCGTCCGGAAGATGCTCGCCGTTTCTGTGAGTGCTCAAGAAAAGGGTTGGAGCATATCATACTGACTTTTTCTCAGGGTCTTTCTTGGAGCACCAACGAGCGGCGTATACTATCATGAGAGGCTGCATTGCGCTTCTGGAGCACTTCAAAGCTACCTCAATGGATGAGGACCACACGCAGTAATGGCGCTTCTGGGATTCGGAATCTGCTGTGATCACGACTTCAAGTTTCAAGGCGAAATATCGATGATGAATGTCCACCGTTGAGAGCCTTGCTGCAATGAGGTTTCTCATACATACTACAAGAGCATTTATTTCTTTTCTTCCCGAAGATCATGGAGAACATCGACTGATAAAAACTCGGCTGCATCTCGCTGCTTCAAATAAGGATTGAGCCCGATTGAGGGACTAATCAGACTGGCCTATTGTCTCGATGGAGAATTCTTTATTGTTGTCTTTTTATTTTCCTAGACTGTGATGTTTGTTTTTGTTTAATCAGAATGACATACACTCGAGATAAAAACTCAAAGCCAGAGCATTCTAGCTCATTGCACATGTCGAGAGTTACACCGCAAGGCAGACAGTAGTGTGCAATGCGACCTAGTTCGGAAATCGATCGCCTGCCTAATAGTGGATTAGAACCAATAGAAATTGTCGCGCATTCGCATAGCTAGAAAAAGAGTATCTGATGCTATCCTTGTTATTTGTTATTCTAATGATGTGATGGCAGAGGTTGACGGCGAATCTGACAAATGTTTTGGTAAAAATCGACATATTACATCTAACTTTTTTATTCAAAGCTGTAGAGATGCAGCTGGGGCAACAAAGAAAAAGCCTTGAACGACCCCCACCTGCTCTGAAGTGCAGAAGTCTCCCCAGTCCCAGCTCATCCTTGCTCTTCCTCGCTAACGAGAGAGAGTCACTTTCTGAAGATCACGATGTGCTGAGCAGAACAAAGAAGCGCCAACTAGCTATTGTGTGGATAATGCGGGGAGTACCAAAGATTGCAGTCCGGTCAACCGCTGGGCTTTGGTACGGTCTAGAGGAGTCGAATCCGGAGCCGCATTTTTGTTTTGGGACCGTACACAAAGCAAACGGCGGTGGCAGTAATCATCGGACCCATGGCACAAGACCGGAGGCTCGTGCGTGATGGTATGGAAGCTTTGGAGCCATGCGTTGCGGATCGCAGCAAACACTGAGCCTGAGACTTTTCGCAAGCCTGCCACTGCGAAGAACACGTCGGGTGGCTTGCAGGCCAGACTAACCTTCAATAGTTCTTCCCTGGTCGCCATCATCCCTGTCGAAGTTGTTCGCAACGCCAAAGGACTTTCTCCACTCTCATGCAGGACCCGGAATCCCCTCGACAGGGGGACACAACTTGGCTCTGGCAGTGGTTGCATGGGTCGAAATCAATTCGGGAGCCAATCGAGCGCGGCCAGCAGGGCGACACACGAGTCATAGGCCAGGAGGGCGGCTGTCAAGGGAGGCTTGGCCGCAAAGACTCTACTACAAAGAAGGGACCCCATCCTTTTGTCTGCCGTGACATGTCCATCTTATTTCTGACTGGGGAACCGACTTTTGAGAGCTGGGGTCCGTCCTGTTATATGGTTCTCGGTTTCGCATATTCGGGTTAGGGGCTGGCGCAGAAGGGAGGAGGAGATATCTTTGACAACGGTGGATAGTAGTCAGCCGGCTGCTTCGGTGCCAAATCGAAATTCAGACGCACTCGCAAGGGGTTCTCTCGTGAGGCACGTTCATCAGCAAGTCTTGGATCTCAGGCGAAGTAGACTTCGCTAATGCAGTCTAGGCTGAATTCAACTCTGCAGGAACCTATGGGATCAAACCATACAGCCCAAGACAGGTATGTCTTATCATGCTGTGGGGGTCTAGACCTGCTGGATCTTTCACAAGGACGTACGCACAAGTTTCTCCTGATGAGTTATGATTTGTTGCGAGAGCTAGTTTTTGGCGCGCAGGGAGAGATTGAAGGCGCCGTCTGTTGTGTCTGTTGGTCTTCTGCGTGGGCTCTTGAACGCTTACTTGGGTTCTTGGCCGCGGAATCGCATTTCCGGGCCAGGGTTTGGTGGGCCCTTTGTCTCCACCCCCAGAGTCGGTAGCTCTACCGATACCTGATTGCACACTACCTGGGGAGGAACTGTAGTGGGCTCACAGCCTACGAAGCTACTATGATTGAGTCTCTGGGATATCAGAGGCATGATTGCGTTGATTGATACAATGTTATGCGTGTCTCGCAAAATTGTGACTACAGCCAGCAATGGGAGCTCACAGCTCGGTTGCGGATGACCCATCCAGAAAATAGCATGCTATGGCTGGGTGATCTTGTCTAAGTCAACTACAAGATATTGGGGTACGTTGTTTCAGGTCATGTTCCCTACTGTTGAACTCAAACTAACACCAGAGCATATTACAGACCGAGCAACGAGCTGTCCAGAAACTATTCAGCACCACCGTTAACTCGTCAACCTTGGCAGAGCCAACATGTCTGCAACAGAGCCACTCAGTTCCTTCAAACGCATCATCCCATATCGACGGCCACGAGTCATAAGGGCGCGAAAACTGACTTTGTCGTTTGTTGTGACGATGTCTCTGTCGCCTGAGACATCTGCAGAAGTACCATGCCCAGCCAGCCGCGTACCGCTGTCCTCCAGACAACGATTAGGGGAACTGTTCGAGACGGCGACAACCGCTTGATTACCATGATTCTGATTGCGCGTGGGTATACTTTGGGGGCAGGGAAGGCTTTACGCGGTAGCGATGAGCGGACGTTGATGGTGATATTGTTGACCATCGGGCGATGGACCCGATCGTTGGGGAGCTGGGTCGAAGGTTGGGCGGTTCCAGCATCTGACGGGCTTTGCTCCCTGAGATTGTGTCTCAGAAGGAAGAAACAGTTGGGATACTGCTGTGCTGGGAAGGAAGCCAGCACTTTGACACTCGAGAAGCCGTCGATGGAGATGGTGGCCTACAGTCGCTGTCGAGGAAGCAAATCAGTCTGCATTAGCAAGCTCGTCCATAGCAATAAAGTAAGTCAGCATGTATGATAAAAGAGTATCGAGAACAGGAGAATAAAATCAGCCATGAAAGCTCCACCTTTGCGCATCCAAGGCGAAGCGCAGGCAGCCTCCCCAGGGTGATACGGGTCTTGTTCGAGTCGTCGATTCTAGCAACAAACTGCGTCGTGTCGCTCAATGTACACTTCTTTCTCTGCAGCAATGTGGTCATGACTTGGAGAACGAACCAGCGAATTTGGCATAGCTGTGTCGAAGACATCTTCGTGACTGCGCAAGGCGTGATGATTAGGACGCTTCATGAGATACTGCTTCTCGGTGAGATCCAGCCATCAACAGGACCAGGCAACAAGTTCCGAAGTAGCTCAACCCTACGCGAAAACACCTTCGATGCCGATGGCTTGCAATGTAGATGGAGCGTTAGAAGGTTAGCATTCTCACCACTCTTCCAGAGAAATGTGGTTGAGGCTACTGCAGTCAGGATTGAGGATTGGACCATCCAAGGCAACACAACCAGCGATGCGAAATAGTCATCTATCCCCCGCGGACATCTGAAGACTTCTGTTATTCTGCATTGCATTCACCGGATCAACGTTGCTGAAATTGTTGCCTGGCTCATGTGACCTGCCCTGCAGTTGCTAATCGTGACTCTACTCGCTGTCTAGTATCCTGAACAAACCAGACCAAACCAGACTTCATTCTTCTTTCTCCTCGTACTCTACAAACATCCTCGGTTGACTATTCCTCCACCTTTTCCATCCTTTCCATCTTCTGCATCCTTCCAGCATCTCCAGATGTCATCCACCCCCGACGACGCGAGCATCATCACCCCCGAGATGGCCGCCGCCGACGACCTGAAAGCGGGGCACTTCCAGACCCTGACGATCGAAACCCCCCACCGCATCATCATCACCGACACGCTGTACGGCACACACCAGATCACAGAGCCCGTGCTCCTCGACCTCCTGCAGAGCCCGGACCTGCAACGCCTGATCGGCATCTGCCAGCACGGCGTCACCGGCCACCTGCGCCTCCTGCCGGGCGCCGTCAAGATCACGCGCTTCGAGCACTCGGTGGGCGCGTGTCTGCTCGTGCGGACGCGGGGCGCCACGCTGGAGGAGCAGGTGGCCGCGCTGCTACACGACATCAGCCACACGGTGCTCAGCCACGTCGTGGACTGGGCGCTGTCCGACAATCCGCACGAGGGGAGCTTCCACGAGGTGCACAAGGCGCGCTACCTGCAGACGACGGGCATCCCGGCCATCCTGGCGCGGCACGGCATCCCCCTGACCGTGCTGCACGAGGAGCAGTACCCGCTCGTCGAGCTGCCGGCGCCCCATCTCTGCGCGGACCGCCTCGACTACGCCCTCCGCGACGGCCTCGCCTTCGGCATGCTGACCCTCGACCGCGTGCGCGCGCTGCTGCGCTGTCTGCGCGCCTTCCCCTACCCGACCGCCCGCCACCGCATCCTCGTGCTCGAGGACCGCCGCGTCGCCCTCGCCTTCGCCCGCGTCTACCTGCAGATCGACCAGGAGGTCTGGTCCCACCCCGCCCATGCCGACATGTACAAGCGCACCGGCCGGCTGATCGGGGACCTGGTGCGCCAGGGCAAGATGGCCGAGGAAGTGCTCTGGACGCTCTCGGATGAGGAGTTCTGGGCGTTGTTGCTGCGGCTGGCGGATGCGGAGGGGGCGGCCATGTTGAAGTCGTTCGAGCGCGATGGGCTGGTGGAGGAGCACGGCCTGCCGCTGCCCAAGAATGCTAAGATCAGGACCGTCGATCCGGACGTCTGGGAGAATGAGTACGTCCCCGCGCCGCTGTCGCAGTTGAGTCCCGAATGGGCGGCGGAGCGTCAGGCCTACATCGCGCGTCGCGAGGCCACTCGGGCGTTGGACTAGTTGGGCGGGGGTGGGAACTTGGAAAGACTAGACTGGATGCTGCAGGATGAAGTACGCGATCGTGTGGCAATCTATGGACGAAATGGTTATTCTCCCTTGTATCTATCTGCATCTTGCTTGGGCATACACATTGGCGCTATATCAGAGCGGGTTGGCAGAGACGGGGCCCTGCGTGGAAGGAGATGACAGCAAGAATCAGCTGCATACGAAGTAAATGAGCACACGAACAAGACTCGTAGTCTTCATCGAACGAGAATCGCATTGTAGACCTGCAACCCAGCATCAAACTAACATCTACAGGCACAGACACCGTCTCACCCCTAGCCATACCGCGCATCCTTGGGCTCGTCGTCGAACCAAACCGGCGGCACCCCATAATTGACGACCGTACTCTTGAGCTTGGTATAGCTCTCGTAGGCAGCCAGGCCATTCTCCTTGCCAATCCCACTCTCCTTGAACCCACCCCAGGGCGACGAAGGGTCGTTCAAATGATGGCCGTTGATCCACACAATCCCAGCCTCGATCTGGTCCGCCACGCGATGCGCCTGCTTGAAATCATTCGTCCAGACCGAGGCCCCCAGCGCGTAAGCCGTACTATTGGCGATGCGCACGACCTCCTCCTCGGACTCGCACTTGATCAACGCGATGACGGGGCCAAAGACCTCGTTGCACGCCAGGTCGGAGTCCGCCTGCGTCTCGATCACCGTGGGCTCGAAATAGAACCCCTTCTGGCCGGCCACACGCCCCCCACCGCAGAGAACCCTTCCCCCCTCCTGCACAGCCCTCTCCACAAAGGCCGTGCATCTCTCCACCGCCGCCTGCGAAATCACCGGCCCAATCTGCGTCGCCTCGGCCGTGGGATCCCCGACCCGCAACGCGCGCACCCTTCGCTCCAACACCTCTTTGAATTCCCCATAAATATCCCGATGCACCAACAGCCGACTCCCCGTGACACACGTCTGCCCGCTGGCGATAAACCCCGCAAACAAGGCCGCCTGCACCGCCGTCTCGACCTCGAGACTGGCAAACAAACACACCGGCGCCTTCCCGCCGAGCTCGGCGGTAATGGGGATGAGATTCGGCGTCGCGACAGCCGCGACGGCGCGATACGTCGCCAGACCCCCGGTCAGATCGATCTTCGCCAGCGCGGGACTCTCACACACAAACCTGCCGGTGTCCGCCCCATACCCGCTGACGATCTGCAGCACCCCGTCCGGCAGCCCGGCCGCCTGGAAGAGCGGGCCCAGACGCAGCACGGACAAGGGCGCCAGCTCCGACGCTTTCAGAATGACGGCATTGCCCGCCGCCAGCGCCGCCGCGAGCTTCTTCGTCGCGATCAGCAGCGGGTGGTTGTACGGCGTGATCAGCGCCACCACGCCCAGCGGCTGCCGCGTCAGCGTGTTCACCACGCCCGGACCCTTGAACGGCGGCACGCTGCCTTCGTGTGTGCGGGCCAGGGCCCCGAAATACTCCAGCCATTCCGGGACCCGCGCGAGTTGCGTGCGCATCTCCCGGATCGGCCGGCCCGTTTGCGCGGTTTCGAGGGCGATCAGCTCCGGCAGTTGCGCGCGGAGGAGGCGCGCGGCGCTGGTGAGGACGCTGAAGCGCGTGGTGGCGGAGGCGCGCGCCCAGGTGCCCGTTTGGAAGGTTGTGAGCGAGTGCGCGATGATGCTGTGGATTGTGGTCTCGGGCGTGGCGTCGATGGTTGCGAGGGGCGTCGAGGTTGCGGGGTTGAGGACGGTGATGCGTTGCGGGGTCGCGGCGGCGTGGGCGCCGTTGATCCAGTTGGATACGTGGGGGAGGGGGTCAGCCATGGTGGGTGGGTGGTATTTGGTGGATGGAGGGTGTAGTGGTGGATGGAGGGAGTGTTGGTATATGGGTTTACTGAAGTATCGTATCTCCAGCACAGCATATGCACACTCACTCTCCTGCATATACCCCGCACATGATAAGCACTCCCCCACCTTATCATCCCATATCTTCCCCAGGCACTGAGTATCGGTGGCTCGGAGATATCTTATCTCTCTACTTGGAATCTGTTTTGAACGCATCTGGCATGCCGATTCCCATGGTACTGTATCTCATACTGTGGTAGCCTGTTGTTTCTCCGAAAGGTAAACAACTTCGCTAATCACTCAACCTTGCTCTAGACAAGCTGGCCATGGATCGGATTCTCGAATGCGAGACTCTGCAAAGACAGAGCCTCTTGCCTGCAATGCGAATCTAGTTTCTTCGTTCTCCTTGCCAGAGACAACTCTTCGACCTCATCTCCTCTCGGCAACTTGTGCCGTGTGATCGGACTTTGCCCCGAGCCATCGCCGAGATCGAGTCATACTTAATCCCTCTAAAACCCCACCCTTGAGCGTCACGCAAATCCAATCCAAAATCCATCAGAGTCCACGCGCATAAGCAAGAATGACAGCATCGGGACCCGACAGAAGCGCTTTCACCTCGCGAGACTCCGTCGCACACCTCTGGCGCGACCTCGGCCTCCCCGAAGCCAGTCTGCAGTCGCTCGACATCAGCGACCCCGAGACACCCGGTCTCCCATCCTCCTTCAAGGTGGGCCATCTGGCACAGACGTCCATCGCACTGGCCACCTTGCTCGCCGCGCAGATCCACAGCCTGCGAAACCACAACCACAACCCCCTCGCCCTCCCACCACCACCACCACCACCCCCGACCGTGACCGTTCCGTTCCGCCACGCCTGTGTGGAGTTCAACTCCTGGCGCCTCTACACGACCAACGGCAAGCCGATCCAATTCCCCCCAAGCAGCCCGGTGGGAGGTCTGCATCGGACATCCGACGGCTACGTGCGCGTGCATGACGGGTTCCCAAACCACCGGGACGGAGCCACGGCGCTCCTCGGCTGCGCGCCGGACGAGACGGACCGCGCGGCCGTCGCGGCGAAGGCGGCCGCGTGGCGGTGCGTGGACCTGGAGCAGACGGGCCTGGAGGCCGGACTCGCCCTCGCGGCGCTGCGGAGCTTCGCGCAGTGGGATGTGCTTCCGCAGGCCCGTGCCATCGCGGATACACCCATCCGTCTGCGCAAGATCGGCGACGGCGCGCCGCCAGCGGGGGCGGGGCTGCCGGACCGCCTGGGCCCCGGCGCCGATAAGTGCCTGCGCGGGCTGCGGGTGCTGGAGATGTCGCGCGTGATCGCGGCGCCCTTGGCCGGGAGGACGCTCGCCGCCCACGGCGCCGATGTCCTGTGGGTGACCAGCCCCCATCTCCCAGACTTGCCGGCACTGGATCGCGAGCTGGGCCGGGGGAAGAGGACGATACATCTGGACTTGCGGGATGGGCGGGATGAGGCGGAGCTGTTCGGGCTCCTGGATGAGGCGGACGTGTTCATCCAGGGCTACCGACCGGGGAGTCTGGCGGCGCGCGGGCTGTCCCCGGAAGCGATCGCGCGACGATGTTCGGGTCGCGGGATCATCTGCGCGAATCTGTCGGCGTATGGGCCGGAAGGGCCGTGGGCTGGCCGTCGTGGGTTCGACTCTCTGGTCCAGACGTGCTCCGGGCTGAATGTGTCCGAGGCCGAGCACTTCGGGGCTGGGGAGGCTGCCCGTCCGCTGCCGTGTCAGGCGCTGGATTATGCGGGGGGCTTCTTCCTGGCAGCCGGCGTTATGGCGGCGCTGTACAAGCAGGCGACGGAGGGCGGATCGTGGCAGGTGGATGTCTCTCTGGCCGGGGCGATGAAGTACCTGCGTTCGTTGGGACAATACGAGGGCCGCAGTGGATTTGACGCGCCCGATTATCTCCGTCCGGAGGATGTGCCGTCGGAGTACATGGAGACGCATATGACGGGGTTCGGCAAGATGACCTCGGTGCGACATGCAGGGTCCATCCAGGGCGTGGAGGTTGGATGGGAGATCATGCCGAAACCACTGGGCGCTGACGAGAAGCGATGGTTATAATGATGCGCTGCTGCAGGCCGGGAACACAGCCAACCCATCTGTGGTTGTGGTCGAGTGTCGAGTGTCGAGTGTCTCAAGGGTCAAGAGTTCGACCTTGTGTGTCATGTTGGGTGCAGTTACACACACATCGCATCTGTGCATCTGCTTCCCACACCCCCTTGCTTCTTCCCTTCGCGTGATAAAGGCGCCTGACAGGTTTTGTCGTTGCATGTTTGTTCCCCCTCTGTATGACCTCACAATGCACGGTGCATACACCCCCTCCCCCCTCCCCCCTCCCCCCTCGGTCCTCGTCTCGAATTGCTTTGTCCACGTATTCGTACCTCCGTTGGGTCATGCGGGGTAAGACCGCTGCTTCGTTATCAATCGAGGATGGCCGCTCTCTTTGTTCTTCTGCTTTGACACCACCACAACCACCACCCACCCTCCCCCGTTGTGCCACCTCCCCACCATCATGAAGGTGATCATCATCGGCGCCGAAGTCGACGGCCTCATCTGTGCGATCGCTTGCCAGCGGGAGCAATTAGACGTACTTGTTCTCGAACAAGAGGCAGAGATCGAGGTAAGGTGGAAGGAGGACGAGGGCGTGGCAGCAAGGGCTTGTTTGCTGAATTTCCGCGCTCGCCTGCAGGTCAATGCCGGTATCCAGATCCCTCCCAACGGAGCCCGAATCCTGCACCAACTGGGTCTTCTCGAGGCTGTGGCTCGCAAGGGGACTAGGACAGAGTATCTGGATCTCAGACGCTTTCATGATGGCGCGTTGATTCGGTCGATGCCGTGGGGGGAACCGGTGCGCCAGGCTTACGGGAGACCGTGGCTGTATGTAGTCTTCTGAGACAGCCAACTCAAGCTCAAGCTAATCATGCATGGAAGTCATATCACCCGGGCGGACTTTCTCGACGTCCTACTCGACAAAGCGCGACAATTAGAGATAGACATCCGGCATCATGCCGTCGTGGAGGAGATTCATTGCGGCAGCGCCGAGGTGGTTCTGAAGGATGGAGCTCGGATTCAGGGAGATGTGGTGGTTGGAGCCGATGGTTTGTTTCTCCCTGTTACTTACGAAGAGAACTCGTGCAATGCTGAAGATGGCGACGCCGTCAAATAGGGATCTACTCCAAAACTCGCGACACAGTCTTGAACCAGCCATGCCCGCCCAGCCCAGCCAACGACATCGCCTACCAAGCCACCATCTCCCGATCGGCGCTGAAAGCCCTCAACGCCGGCCACCTCGACGAGCTCTGCTCCAAGACCAAGATCACCACCTGGCTAGGCTCCGCGCAGCATACCGTCTTCTTCCCCGTCCGGCAGGGAGAAGAGTATATGCTTGTCACCTACCACACCCACAGCGCTCCTCCAGCAGCAGCAGCAGTAGTAGCAGCAGCAGCAGACGGTCTCTCCCAGATGCAAGCACTGCATCAAGGCTGGGACATCCGGTGAAGCCCCCTTCACTCTCCCAAATTCCACCTAACCCCACCCGTAACTAACAGACAAAAACCATCTTAGACTCCAAACCATCCTCGCGCACGCAACCTTCTTCTCCCAAACCACCCAGCACACCCTTCGCACCCTCCCCACCTGGACCAATGCCCGCCTCATCCTCCTCGGCCCCGCCAGCCGCATCATCCCGTCCTACCAAGCCCAAGACCTAGCCGCCACCCTCGAAGACGCCGCCGTGCTCAGCACGCTTCTCGGCCTCCTCGCCCACCATAACCCAGAGCCCCGCCTGCTGCCGCGCCTGCTGCCGGAGATCCTCGCCCTCCACGAGACCCTCCGCAAGCCGGCCGCCGTCCAGGCCGTCCAGGACGGCCTGCTCAGCCGCCGCGTGCTGCAGGTCGGCCATCCGGTGGGCCAGGCCCTCCGCAACTGGTTCCTCGGCGGGGCGGGCATCACGCGCGACACGGACGCCGGGTGGTTGAAGCTGGTCTCGGCGCAGCAGGAGCCAAGGCTAGGGGGCGGGCTCCTCGGCGAGACGAGGGCGCGGTTCGAGGCGTGGAGGACGGAGCGGCTGCCGCTGTTGCTGGCGGCGGAGTCGAGGTCGTCGGCGGGATACGGCATTGGACGGAAGCGGTTGCGGTGTTGGACGTATTGACTTTCATGCCGCGGACCGGTGCATATGCGAAGAAGGTCCCCCGTCCAGTGGGGGTGAGGTAGGTATTTCTTTTGGGGGGTGTTTGTTTCGTCTGAACTCAGATCCTCAATTCAAGACCGAACTGCTTGCAAATGAATTCCTCTCCCCATCGTAGGCTTAGGATGTAGAATGTCGGACGGAGTATCGAGGTGAGATCCCTTCCCATCAAAAATCAAGTGCGAGGGCGAGGGCGTGGGTGTGGGTGTGGGTGTGCCTTCTTTATTGGGGCGGTCATCCTTCTTCCTATTCCTTCTTTCCTCCTGTTCTTCCTGCGACACCTCATGTTCTTAGCATCAGTCGGAGCATCCCCCCTGAACGTGAATTCTATTACATTTACCGCTTGTCGCACTGTACAAGAGGTACGGAGTAGTACAGTACAGTTCGCGCTTAGCGAACAACTGAACAACCCCCTTCTCCACTCGGACCCATCGCATCCTCCCCCCTCCCCCCTCCCCGCACAAGATCTACCCCTACTGCCCCACTCGCCTACTGTATAGTGGGGTCTTGGGTCCCAGCCAGATGTGCTCGTTCCATTAAGACCCTGAGGATGCAAATTCAGCGTGGCTTCGGGAACTTTCAGTGTTGTTGCGACACTGCTGCTCCTGCTGCTGCTGCTGCTGCTGCTGCTGCATTGCGGTGAGCACAGCTAAATGTAACTGGTGTCAGAGTACACTTCTGACATCCTTAGACCAAGTGTCTCGAGTGGACATAGTATGTGTTCAGGCAGCACGCAACTGGTCATGCCTTGGTACAATTTACAACGCGGCTCAGACCTGGACAAGATTGCTATCGACTAATCTAGTAAAAAGGAAGAGCGCAAGGGCTGACTCGTGGTATATCCAACGAACTAGAAGCGACCGGGGGAGGTGTATTGGCTGCAGGTAGAATAAATAACAACAGTGCAAAACCAATGCCATGCACGACTGCCAATGGGAAAGGGAACTGGGAAGGAAGGCTGATGACAAGAAAGTAAAGAGAATCAAGAGAAGGGCCCTGGGTCGGCCATTGGAACCGACGAAATAGTAGGTACAACGACGCTGACAACCATCGCAACATGCGACAACCGCACACAAAAAACCACCCACTTCTCAGTCACATCGATCATCCCCGCGCAATTACTCTTCCTGGTAGGAGATCTTGCGCATCTCTCCCAGGCGTTGGCGGGCGCGAGCAAGACTGTTCTCCAGCTGCAGAATTTCGACCTGCAATACCAAAACGAGTCAGCTTTCTTGACTCCAGAAACAAGTCTAGATGAAGGGTTTACCTGTTGCTCCATCTCCCGCACCTTGAACTCGTGAGAGCCGAGCTTGCTGTAGTCGACCGCTTCGTTGTCCTCCTGGTTCTTCTCCTTAATGATGCTCTGCACCTGCCGCACCAAGGCCCGGCACGCGGCGCCAACGGCCTTGCTAGCGCTCTCCAGGCGGTCTTGGGTCTTGCTCATGAAGCTAGCTTTGACACGACTGGCCGCCACCAGCTGAGCCGTGCTAGCAGCCACGTCGTTACTGGCCACGATCAGCTGCTCGGGCGAGTTGCGGCCGGAGATCACCCCATCGGCCGTCTCGATCAGAGTGTTGGTCGAGTTGGCGACGGCCTTGGCTGCCGAGATCAACCCCTCCGTCCAGCGGTTGTTCTTCTTGTAGAAGGCGGTGCGCGACGAGCTACCACGGCCCTCGCGGACGATCTCCTGCTGCGACTCGGTCGCCGCCTTGATCAACTCAGCGATGGCGCTGGTCACGGCAATAGCAGCTTCCAGGATAACGTCGTTGATGCGAAGCTCATACGTGGTGTAGCCATCACGAGGCTTCTTTTTGAGCTTCGCCAGGCGCTGCGCCGCAGCATCGATGGCATCCGCCGCCTTCAGAAGCTCCTGGTCGACAAGGTCGCCGAGGTCTCCATTCGTCGTGATTCTCGCGCTCTTGGGCGCGAACACGTCGACCAACTTCGACAGAGCCTGCAAGTCTCTTTGCACCTCCAGGTTGTTGTTGATCACCACGTCGGTCTTCTGCAGAGCCTCCAGTCCCTCCAGTCGGAACGACTGCAGGCCCCGGAAGAACCGTACTGTGGCCTGTGCAGACTTGCGGGCGGCGTTCAGCAGCTGATCGGCGTTCTTGTCGTCCTTAGCGAGGCGAGTCAGTCCCTTCGTGTTGCTGAGGACATCGGCAATGGAGCCGGAAAAGATCGACACTGTACGGATGATCTCCGCGTGCGTGCTGTTGGGTCCATCGGCGATGAAGTTGTTGAAGGCAGTGGAGAACTCGGTTGCCGACGCAGACGCCTTCTCGATCTGGGAAAGCACATAGGGAGGCGAGGCGTTCTGGTTACCAGCCTGCATAGTAGAGTCCACTTCGTACAAAGCATCATCCACCCGCTGAACACCAGTCTGCAGAACGGAATCGATGATGTCGTTGATCTTGGCCACTGTGCCGTGCAAGACTTGATCAATTTGAGTATCAAGAGCTGTGTCGACATCGCCTTGGCTCTGTGAAAAGCAGCGGGTTAGCCACAACACTTTCTTTTGTTTGCGCAGGGTAGACGTACCAGTTTCAACTCTTCGAGTTCCATCAGAGCCTGCTCCATTCCGGACTTGTACACCTCGATTTCCTCGTCCTTTTCGCGAAGAGCGAGCTCGTGGTCGCCATCGCGTTCCGAGTTTCTGGAAGAGTACTCCTCCAGAGCACGGGTTTTTTTCTGCATGCGGTTACTTCGTGGCCAGCTTCAAATACGCCCTGATGCAACAGCACTTACCCTGAGAGACTCCTCCAGATCGGCCATCTCACGGTTGTATTTCGACAACAATGTGGAGATCTCAGTACCCTTCGAGCGCTCGGCGTTCTCTGCGCGATCAAGGGCCATTCGGAGCTCCCGCTTGAGTTTCTCTAACTCCTCCTTGTTGTTGCCCGTCAAACGATCTCGGTCATGCAGTGCGCGATCTCTCTCGCGAATCATGTCGGCCAGCTCCAAGTTCTTGGTCTTGAGCTCACGTTCGAGCTTCTCACGCCGCTCGATCGCCTCCTGGGCTGACGCGGCCTTGAGCTTGAGGCTCTTCGTGGTCTGCAGCAGATCCAGATGCTCTTGGCGCAGTTGCGAGTAAAGCTTAGCTAGAGCCTCATACTTCGACCGCCAGGTGTTCACTTGCTCCTGCAGGGATCGGATTTGATCATCCTTGGAAGCGTTTTGCAGGTTCAAGTTCGCGGTTAACTGGTTCATTTGTTCCTCCAAGTCCTTGACTCTACGATCGTACTGTTGCAGCATCAACTGATCGCGCTCATATTGAGCCCTGGCATTCAAGTTCTCTTGCTCAAGCTCAGCCAGTCGACCTTGTGTTTGAGTCTGGTATTGATCGCGCAACAGTTGCTCATGAGCCAGACGCTGTTGCTCCGCCTGGAGGCGTTGTTGTTCCTCGAAATCCTGCTGCGCCTGCTGCTGCGCCAAGAGTTGTTGGCGCTGTTGATCCTCCCACTGTTGTTGCAAGCGGCGCTGCTCCGCCTCATATTCCTCCTGCTGGCGCTTCGCTTCGGTGGTCCAGAAGTCGTTGATGGGTTCTGGATCTGCAGCCACCGGCTTGGGGGGTGGGGTGGGTTCGGGCTCGGGCTCTTTGGCCGGTCTTCTCGGAAGAGCGGGACGATCATCGTCTTCTGACAGGAGATTGGGGGGATCCTGCGGCAGCTTGGGAACAGTAATTAAACTGGTGAGGTACCGCAGATTGGAGCATTCGTAGTAGAACCGCACAAGGCGGTAGTGTTGGGCGTCATATCGGCCACGGAGAGGCTCCAAGGCTTCGTGGTCACCAGTCGCTAAAAGGGCACTCGTTAGTCTCCATGGAGCAGTCATAGGGGAGGTAGGGCCTACTGGTGTGCATAGCCCTTAGCATGCTGGTGATGAACTTGTAAATGCCGTAGCTCTCCTGCACCAGCGGGACCAACGCAGAGATCCGGCATTCATTGTTTGTGCCCGACTGGAAATGCGAGAAAATGAGTTTCTGGAAGGCATCGATCTGGTCCTGAAGAGTCATGAGGTCGCTAATAGTCTCGTAGCTATCATAGTGTCAGCCAAGTTCGATGCTAGTGTCGGGATTCGCATACCCCTCATTAGGATCATTGATCGTCTTCAGACTGATGTACTCCTCGTACTCGAAGAGGCCTGCGAAGGATTAGTGTGTATCCAAAAGCCAGACGACCGGTTTCCGCACCATTGAACTCGGGGTGGTTCCGGTGGAAGGCAAGCTTCGACTCGAGGAAGTAGACATACTCCCGGATCAGGGGACCGTATCCTAGCACATCACGATGGGTCATCAGTACTGAGCTCTAACGGCGTGTAACTTGTATCTTCATTTCAGATGACCACCCACCTCGAAGACCCTCACCCCCAACACCTCGCATGAGGCTGTCAATCCAGTTGGCATGTTGTTGCGCTTCACGGATCACTATCGGGTGGCCCTCTTGCAGCACCTTGTGGATCGTGATAAGCGCTTTGAAGGTTTGCACCTCGTCGGCGAGGACCGGCTGGCTGTGACGCAGAAGCGGGATGATTAGCCGTCCCCATCATCGCAAATGAGCATTGTGAAAAGTGAGGGCGACAACATACACCTTCATTCCAGCCCAGAAGGCCGCAGAGGATTTATGGTCCCATGTATAGACGATGCAGCTCCGAACATGTTTCCCTGGGCGAGCATTAGCGACGGACGGTCAGACGCGAATGCAGTGCGGAGCGGTGCTTCGGAGGTCGAGAGGGTGGTGCTGATGAGATCAATGCGTACGTTTCGGGGCGGTTTCCTCTGCGGTTGGAAATCTGATCAGTCACGAGAAGCTAGAAGCCATCGTTGGATTGAGCTACACTCGACTTACCGATGCTGGTAGCTTTGCGAATGTTGATGGCCAAATCAGCCTCCGTGCTAGACACATCATGTCAGTCAGTCTGCGCATTTCTGGTAGAGTATAGATGACGCATACCGACTCATCTTGACGGGTGCAGAGCTCTTGCTCTTGCTCTTGGGTGGGAGAGAATCAGGGGATCAGGGGACGGGGAAGTGCGGCGGGAGCCGGTGGGCCCGAGTGCGCAACTTAATCAATCAGTGGAATGGAATCAAAGGTGCGCTCAACGGAGGAAAAGGGGGAGGCCGATGGGAAGGATTCAAAAGATAGGAGAATGTGACAGTCGACCGGCACTGAAGGGAAAAGAATGTAAGGAAGGAATTGGAAAAAGAGGGGACAGATAGACAGATAAACCGAGAGCGATAGGGGAGTGAGAGGAGTGAGTGAGTGAGTGAGTGAGTGAGTGAGTGCAGTGGGTGGGTTGGGTGAGGAAATGACGTTCTGGGGGGGGGGAAGACGGAGGGGAGCGAAAGGTGATTGACGGCTGCGGCCTATCCTTGGCGCTACCGCCGCGTCAACTGGGCATGAATACTGATCACTGATACTCCAAAAGTATACCGACTACGTAAGAATGCTCAAGGCAGCCACAATACTTTCATTCAAGAGCCATTGAAAAGACTAGCAAATTTGAAAACCTGGAGATCTACTTCACCTTCTATATTTCACCAGTCCCACACTACCTCAGTAGAACTAATCGTATTCGAATTACAGCCAAACAATCCACAACGCCTCCTGTTGCCGTGCACCTTGCGCGCTCAAGAACCAGCCGAGAAAAGAAATGCAGCAAGTGATATAAGTTAAGTCTGATATAGTGGTAGTCTGCTGCCACCTGAAGCTGCTTGAGTAGCCAGCCCAATCCAGCCTTTCCTATCATCATGATGGCTCTACGCGAGACGTCCATGGGGAACGCACAGCGCTCTGCGATGTATGGCCATCAACAATACAGACACCATAGAAGACACAATGGCATGCAACGATCAGTTCATTCTCTCAAGGAATGATTCCGTCTGTGGCTGACAGCCATTCCATTCCGTGTTTTCCAGAGTCGGGGTTGACCACGGAGGCTACCGGCGTTGGTTTTGGCTCGGATGCTGCCTGATCTGCGTTCGCTTCCACGAGACTACCATGATTCTGAGTTTCATCCGACAGTGATTGTCGTGATGCGTCAGCTTCCTTCGGTGTTGTTGCCAATGTTCCTTCCGGGGTCATGTCAACAACCGGGCTGTTGGGACCTGAATCATATGGCGCTTCAACCACCAATAGTTCGTTAGGACGGCTACTGCTGTCATCGGGATAATACACAGGCTTTCTTCGGGGCGGCAAAGGAGGTTTTGGAACCGGTCGGTGATTCTCTTTCTCCGGCTTATGCTCGGGAAGCGGTGCGTGGCTAACCGGCTTGCGTTTGGGGACAACCGTCGAACTTCCAGTTCGTCTGTAGCTGACCTTGTCAGGTCGCGGCAGCGGTGTGCCTGGGGGTGGGAGGGGATGGCCACGCCCAATCGGCTGCTCCGGTGTACCAGCAGGACGGGCGACATCCTGACCGGAGCTGGAATCCCCCTTGCCAAACACGTTCCATCCCCATTTCTTGGCCACGGACGTTGCCGTGTTGAAGGTCAGAGAGGCTTGTGACTTGACATCGGAGTTTGTTGCGGATGTAAGAGATCGAGTCAATGTCTCCATCGTGCTCCGCCGTCGCGATTTATTGCTGCTCAAGGATGTGGTTGAAGCATTCGTCATGTTGTCTACGTTCATCGACGACTCACTGCCGTGATGAATCGAAGGGGGTCGTGTGGGCAAATCACCATAAGACTCTCGAGAGCTGTCAACCGACTCGATAATGGAAGGCTCGCGGCTCTGAGAAGCACTTGTTGGGACCAAGTGACTATCGATGGGAGGTGAAGTGCCAGGTGTCCTTTCTGGTGAGCTAGGCGGGGAACGGGTGGAAACCTCGTTCATCGTGCTGGTTGCGTTGATCTTTTCCTCTCCCTTGGATTCGGATGAGACTCGGTCGAACCCTACATGATCGGCCGTCACCACGGGGTCCGCGGCGTGGGAGAAGGTCTGGGAACGGATGACTCTTGGAGGCGAGGTACCCAGTTTCTCGACAGCAGAAGACAGGGCGCTTGTGCCACTCTTTTCGGAGTCCCAAATAGAGGCCTTCGAGGCCTTGCGGGCCTTCAAGGTCGCGGTACCTGACTCTCCGAGCGCAGGCGCACTCATCGTGCGTTCGTCCTTCATCTTCAATATTTCCACGGACTGATCTGGGACACCCCCAGGCATCGGAGGCTGCGCATCAGATTCATCCGGGATATCCGCTTTCTCATCAGGTTTCGGAATATCTCTCTGCCAGATTCCGCCACGGAAACGCTGGGGTTGAGTGTCCAGGAATGGTATATCATCCCAGAATGGCAGAACACAGCTCTCCGCGACCACTTCACGGATTCGGCTTTCAATGGCACGTAGGATGATACCAAGGGTAATCTGCTTGGAGCTCACGATCGGCTCAATATTCATCTCCATGTTGGGCATGGTTTCAAATGATATCCAGATCCGATTACTCGGAGGCGGTTTGAACTTAATGAGCAAATGCCCCTCGAGTTTCTTCAGGACAACCGCTAGGACAATATCGACTTCCCGGGCCTTGAAGCGAGGACCCAGATCGATACGGACGGTAGCCGAGATCTGAACCCGGAAATTGCCGGTATACTGCACGTCCGTCTCCACGCAACAGGTGCCATCGACAGTCAGATCCTTGAGCCTTGGGTTGATAATGAAGGGGGCCCCTTCCCCCATGTCTATCGTTTGTAGACCGATCTTGCTGATAAAATTCGGCTTGTTGACGCGAGATATCTTCTTGGTGATCTTCTTCCTGATGAAATCCTCCATCTCCGGCGTCTTGTACATCGCAAGAAACAACCTACCTAGGACGGCGTTGATCCAGCGGGTTTGCAGCTGTTCCTCGGAGGAATGAAGTCGCTGCACAAGCGTCACAATGTGCTTGGTATCGAAGGCCTGATGCTTCGGAGGGCTATCCGCGGAGTTCCACAGCCTGGACTGGTTCTGGAGCATGGCGAAGTAGAAGTCCTCCTTCTCCGACAGGTTCTCCGAGAATAAAAAGAACGGTGGCGTGGGGCCTCCGAGGTCTCCCAATGACTCCAAACGCCGCGAGAGGCAGATAGCGTTCCTTTTCAGCCATAGCTCTCCTTCCGGAATTTCTCCCTCTCCGCCATGAATGCTCACGTCGTGGTGGGCAAGGGAAATGACGTATCGGACTTCCACTTGGTTCGCATTATCGTAGAGCATCAAGTGCCCATGCCTAGCATAGACAGATGGTCAGGATCAATCCTCGCAGAACTGCGACCAAAAGGGAGCGACACGCGGCATGACCTACCGAAGCACAATGTAGAATACATTGCGCGCCCGCTTTCCGTTCTTGGTAACATTTTTAGTCGGTTCGATAGTCGGCGTCTGCTTGCGATCGAATAAACTTCTATACATGGCTTGGTAGACGCTGGGGCTCTCCGCGGCGATCACCTCACCCGCCGGGGTGGTTCGTTCCGGAGGTTTCCCATTGACACCCCCGGGAACATATTCACGACAAACGGCGAAATATCCGGCGGCCACGTCCGAGTCATGCGTACGATGGAACTTCTCCGCCAGCTCATCGGTCCCGGACTTTAGGCTGTATTGATCATCGTTATCGCGTTGCAGGGAGTCGTGTGCGGGTTGGCGGGTTAGGTGAGAGGGCGGGGATGTTGCAGTCAGATAGGCATAGAGGAGGAATAGCGATAGGACCAGAGGGATAAACGTGAGTCCACCAAGGACATAAACGAAGAGAAGGCTGCCGAATGAACTCATTGGGGAGCTGAATGGATTAGAGGACCGGCAATGTAAGCTCCATCATCATGGGGTGCAGTGACACCAAAGGGACCAAGTGGCAGCAGCAGAGACGGAGAATATTGGACCAGCCCCTGGAGTGAGACCAGCTCCGAAGAACAGAAAACGAGGGAGATAAGGGGTGGAGGTGGGGTGGTGGGGAGAGGAGAGGAGAGATGAGGCGAAGGAAAGGAAGAGAGGACAGGTGTATCACCTCTTTCAGTCGGTTGGGGTGGTGTTCACTTTGGGAGGGGGGAGAGGACGGAGAGGAGAAAGAGGAGCCGAAGGGAGGAAGAGTTATGTGGTTCCAAGTTCCAGCTCGTCACTGCACTTGCACTGCACTGTAAGAAGTAAGTACCTAGGTACAGTACGAAGTACAGTGCTTCAGAAACCAGCCTTGCCCTGAGGTCCGTTTTCTCCGCGCTTTCCGTCACGGCTCTTGCTCAGTGCTTGTGTGGTGGCTAGCCTCAGGCATGAGCATGGGCATGGGGCATGGGCATGGATGATTGACGTCGATTCGATGACGGAACCCGGCGGTTCAAGGTTGGGTGGGGAAAGTTCCAGCTGGTGGTAAGTGGTAAGTGGTTGGAACTTGGAAGAACGTTGCCCCGCCCCCAGCCCTGCCAACCGCTGGATCCCGTGATGAGGCTGGCAACGGCAACTTCAACTTCAAGCCTGGCTTGTTCCTGGGGTTTTGGCTGGCGTTGGGTCACCGCCTTTTCGATGACTGAGCATTGAATGTACTGTCCCGGTCTATCGTGGATAGTTCTGTTGTACTGAAGTACTTCGGTACTTAGTAAGTACTCCGTACTCCGTACTTCGAACAGTACGAGGAGATAGAAATGGCCTGCACCCTCTGGCTAATCCTGATTGAGAGTAGCCTGATTCGAGTAGTTGTTGATCCCCCGGCCGCCCATTCTATTCTTATATTCTACCTACTGTGTAGATATTGTCTGTCCGATGGATCCAAGCAGCAACTTCGACAACAACATGTCATTAACACTACAATACTACAAGGCTACGATCATCTTGAACATCTGGGGATCGTCGTATTTCACTACATTCTTGGCTTTCTTCTTTTCTTTTTCTCTGTAATTTACCACACCGACTATACCTTCATGTGTCGCTGTTTGATAGTCGACCACGGAGAGCTGACGAGCCATACCACCATAGTCCCCTCAAAAAGTCAAATGGGAATGCGTTGTGCTAATCGACGGATACACATATGATAGAGACCGCCGAAGCTGGGAGCGATGTATTGAGGCATACTGGTCACTCAGCGATTAAGTTCGTTATCACAGGCGGCTGTATTGTTCTTCTCTTCTTCGCTGTCAACAGAGATGGATTCCCTAGCTATGCGGCGGATGTGGCTTCTAGAACCCTTCGCATGGCCGAAAGATCAGCGAGCCAGGGTTACAGTTACTACAGTAAGCCCCGGGTTGAAATGCAAGAGACTGTACCTGGCATGAGCCCCGCAGCTGGAGCCCATGCAGCTATCCATCGACTCGCCACGCCCCGCGGCTCCGTTTCCATGACCCAAAATTCAAGCTAAATTTTACATCTTCGAAGTGCATAGAGGTACAATACACACAAATGCTTCCATAAATCCATCCCTGCCTTCCGGCCCGCCTGAATCCATCCAAGGAGCCCAATCTGACCGACTGACCGACTGACCGAGTGCGATCTACCCAAGCTCAGTCCAGTTTATCCATGTGCTATATATCCAACCAAGCCATAGAGAGGAAAGAGTTGCCAGATGATCCCCAAAAGCAAGCTCCTGACCGTCAGATATCAATGATGAAGAGGTAGTAGTACATGGGATGTGTCGGCTTGCAAAAAAGAAAAGGAAAGTGTCTAGATATATGAACAGAAGGAGAAAAGGAAGGCTGAAAGCGAAACAGAACGGCCGGGCATCCCGAGCTTGGTCTCTATAATAAGAACGCTTTGCAAAAGACGCTGATGCACACCAATCGTCCATGCCGCTGGTCGGTTCAATCTACTTCCGGCGGTTCATAGTCTTCTCGCACATCTGGATCAGACCAGCCTTGGCTTCGCTGTCGGGGAAGTCCGCAAGCGCGGCGATCGCCTTGTCGATATATTCCTGGGCCAGAACGCGGGTCTGTTCCACACCGCCAGCCTTTAGGACAAGTTCGCGAGCCTGTGAACGTCAGTCGATGTTTCTGGATGGGTTCAATGGGATGAAGATATCTTATTTACCATCTGAACGTCACCGGCCTGGCTGAATTTACGGCCAACCAGCGGGCCCAATTCAGGAAACTGCTTCCACGCATACAGTAGCGGGGCGGTCGCCAGGCCCAATTCCAAATCCGCACCGGCGGGTTTACCCAGCTCGGCCTCGGTGACCGTGTAATCCAACATATCGTCCACCAGCTGGAACGCCAGTCCCAGGTTGCGACCGTATTGGTAGGCGGATTCGACAACCGCAGGAACACTATTGCCCAGTACCGCGGTCGACCGGCAGGACTTACTGATCAGACTGCCGGTCTTGAGGTACGTCTTCTGCAGGTAGTAGGAGAGGGTCTCGTCGGTGAAGACGGGCTTCTTCTCGTCCGCAGCTGTGTTCTTCAGCTGCATGAACTCGCCCTCAACTAGGTTGGTGATCACGGTCGACATCAGCTCGATGACCTCAGGGTCTCGCAGCCGGGCCAGAGCCACCGAGGCACGACCCAGCATGAAGTCACCCGCCAGCACAGCCATCTTGTTTCCGAACTGCAAGTTAGCCGAGGTGAAGGAGCGGCGCGACACAGCATTATCGATGACATCGTCGTGCAGTAGAGATGCGGTATGAATCAACTCGGTGATCTCCGCGAGTCGACGCTGTGTAGGGAGAATATTTTCATCGCCAGCAAAGTCGTAGGCCGCATCAGGGTTACTGCTGGAGGTCGCGGAGGACAGCGAAGGGGGGAGATCGGGGTTGTTGTCGACCAAAATGGACGAGGAGGTAATCGGATCATTGACCGTCGCGTTGTAGTCGACCGTCTGGGGTTTGCGTGGGCACAGCGCTGTCGCTTGTGACATGAGCAAAACAAGCAGCGGCCGCATGTGTTTGCCCTCGCTGCGCGTGTAGTATTTAGCCACCTTGTCCAGCGTCGGGTGGCCAGACCCAAGCAATTGACGAAGGTTCTTGGTCAGGAACTTGAGCTCCTTGCCGACCATGCGCAATGGGTCGACCGAAATGCCCGGCGGCGCCTTGGGGAGGCCTTTGAAAAGTGTCTGGGCCGCCGACACGGCCGCTCCAAACGGAGAGACATCTTTCCGGCGGGTGGGATGATATTTGCGGGTTTGCACTTGCGTCTGGAGAGAGAGGAGATTATTTCGGAGGCATTGCCAGCAAATTGGCGTTGTTGTCGACGGCGTCGTAATGCGAGACGAGAGTACTAGCCCGGCGGCTGGGACTGTGCGAGCTTTCATGATGAAAAGGAAAAGGGGGGGAGTTCGAGGCGTGTACACCAAATCAGAATCTAAAAGACAGTCATACCCACGGAGCAAGCAACGATTGGAAACCGGTCCAGGTCCGGCAATGACTGTGGGGGAGGGAAAGGTTGGGAATAATCAATAGATTAGTTGAAGCCGAAGATTTCGAGAGAGAGACCCGGGCGGTCACTGACCTGGGCTTGCAGTGGAACAGACCTCGGGCCGGATCGGGGTTCCGCCTGGCCCGTCACTCATCATTCATACGACTTGCTTCCATACCTTCCCTGCCTATCAATGCTCTGCTCGACCTCCTTTGATAATGCAATGCCACATTTCTCACAAGGAAATTGGCTGGTCTAAGTCGGCTATGAAGATTACAAAATGAAAAGGCTCCCCGGTTGCATCATCATCACCTCCAAACACCCAACTCGGAAGTATAAAGGAAAAGAACTAAAAGAATGGAACAGACGAGTGGGCGGGAAAACAGCATCTACACCGCAAACAACATAGGAAAAACGATTCAATAATAGATGAGAAACATGGAAGATCACGCCGGCAAAAGCTCAATCCTGCCAATTCCCCTCAAGCACATCCCGGAACATTGAATTTGCAGATAAGAGCACATGATTGTTGAAGGCCTATCGGCAAAGAATTATAGAGGGAACGAAGCCAGAAACCTGCTGCATGTTATTGACGCTCCATAAGATAATTCCTTAGATAGCATCAAAGTCGCCGCCGGCATCTTCATCATCCATGTCTCCCTCTTGAATCTCCTTGGCCAACTCCCGCTCCCGTTCCCGTGCTTCCTGTGCACTCTTCAACTCCAATCGGTGCTGGTTCATGGGGAAACGCATGGCCTAGAATTGCGATGGTCAGCACAAGTATGATTGGCAGGACGTGCGACTCAAACTCACCTTAACGCTCTCATCGTGAAGACTCAAGCATGCTCTAATACGCTCGTGGAAGACCTCACCCGGCTCCCGAGTAGCATAGATGTCGCCAACCTCCTTGCTCTTCATGAAGCCACGCTCATGGTCCAAACTAGCTTCGATCACCCCATCACGAATAGCCTTGGCCACGATGTACTCAGCCGACTCCTCGCTGTCCAGGCCAAGGCGAAGGCAGATGTCCCGAAGTGAGATGCGAGAGTAGGAGAGTGACATCATGCGAATACCCGTCTTGATCACGTTCTGTCTCAAACGCAGGATGAGGGTGTATGTACCATCCTTGCGGAAGGTTGCAGTGTAGGTATTTACAATGTTCAGGAATCCATCCATGTCGCCGACGCTCACAGCCTGCACCAGTAGGAAGTAGGGGTGCAGGGCACGCTCCAACGCAGGCTGACGGAAAATCGCCCGGTCGGGAATATCGCCCATGAGCAGCTCGACGACAACGAGCAGCTTGTGGGATGCCTGGTAGAAACCGCGTGCGCTGTGGCTGGACGGAGACTTCCGGGTAGCGCCGATCAAATGCCCGTGGGCGTCCGTGTACTGCAGCTGGATGGCCCGGATACGGCCCAAATAGTACAGGTAGCGGGCAATCTGGTTGTTCGAGGCGGATGCGGGGAACCGGTTGTGCGAGATCAGCAAGTCCGCCTGCGATATGTGGGACGTCGACAGGTAGTTCCGCAGGAGCAGGGTCATCACGGTCGCCTGGGTATCCACATCTTTGCGCAGGACAGCCGTCCGCAGCGCGTTGAGCAGAGGCTGGCGGATCGAGGTGACAGATGCAGCGGGCGACGGAGGAAGGGGCGCAATCTGTTCGTAGAAGAGAGAGTAGTAGAAGTAGACTCGGGCCGCCAGAGAATCAAGAGTGCGGCGGTTGAGCGCCCGCAGCTGCTCGATCAGTTCTGTGGAGAACTTGGCGCCCTTCTGGAATTCCTTCTTGTCGTACAGATAGATCTGAACAAGAATGGAGAGATAAGTGTCGATCTCGGGCAGGGTTTCCTTGGGGGTCGACTTAGTCTTCTCCGATTCGATGTCCATCTTGGAGCCGGCGACAGCACTATCAAAAGCGCCGGCTTGATCGATGGCGCCCAGCAGGAAGGAAGCAGTCAGGTTGGAGGACGGGTAGTTCTCGACGATGACTTCAGCCAGCACATCCGGTGTGATGTGCTTGCGCATGGACGATATCGAACGCAAAACGCGGAGAGTGAATCTGGGGTCGAAGTGGCTGACAGCTCGCTCAAGCAACGTGAAGTTGGACTTGATATCTACAGCAGGTGTGGAATGTAAGCTTCGCATAAGTGGCTGTCAAGGTACACACCACCTTGGACTTAAGAGTCTACTCACCTTGGACAGCCTTGACCTTCGGGTCAACCTCTGACTTGGACTCCTCGGTGTCCGCACCCTCCATGGCGACGTCGCCTTCATTGTCCGGAGCTTTCTCGCCGGATAACCTCGAACCCTTGGTCGGGGGCACTACAACAGTCATCTTCTCGTCACCTTTCCGATCCTTACTGGCGGTGAATGAGGATGTAGGCCCACCTGCCGTATCCTCTCCCATCTCGACATCTTCCGAACCATTCACGCCGTTCTCCGTCGGGTCGGAGCCGTTGGTCCGCGGCTGGTCCCGCTGTTCACCCATTCCGGAATCTGCTGTGCTATTCGATGAGGCGGCTTTCGAGGCGGTGGTAGATTTGGCCTTGTTGGCAGCGGCGCGATTGGGCGCCGGTTTGTCCTTGTTGGAGCTGGTGTTCTGTGAAGTAGAGCGACCCTTCTCACCGTTAGCAGATGAAGAGGTATCTGACTTGCTGTTCGATCTCAGAGAGCGCCTCTCAGCCGGCATCTTTGGTGAACTGGGAGGGGTCTTTTGGCTGGAAGGGGAGAGGGGGATAAAGCTTCAGCTTCAGCTTTCAAGCTCAAATGAGCAGTGAGGACCGCGGTACCAGAAGCAGAGGAAGGGGCAACAGATGAAAGACCACCAGTGAGAGGGTGGGGGGGAAGCAAGGGTTGTGGGGTAAGAGACACACAGAGAAAAGTCAAAGATGCAAACAGAAGGCAAGATAGATCGCGGATGGTGGGTGAGTGAGTTGGAAGCAGATGGTTGATGAGGTGGTGATGTGATGTCAAGGCTGGGCTGGCTCTGGATGGACAGCGAGAGAAGCAGCCCAGGGCAGGGCAGCTTAGTCAGAGTTCGGTCTTACCGGTCGGGGGTCAGTCAGCTGGAGTGTGTGAGTGGAAG